GAATGTTTCTTATTGTTTGATAAGAAACTTTCAATTGTTTTAAAACGTTTTCCATTATGTGCCCTCATAACTTCCCAAAGACAGTGCAGCCATTTTGCTTTTAATCTTCATGCTTCATGGAAGGCATTTTCAACCTAGTGGCTAATTGTATAATTTTTATTTGGTCTGCCCTGCCTACTCCTTATAGTCCTATACCAGTACAGTGACGATACATTTCCCAACGCAACGAGTCTATTAAAAAAAAATACATAATTAATCCTAAAATGTGACTACATGAAACAAAAGTCGCTTCAGGAGTGGCAGAACTGAACAATACCCAGTTGTGGCGCAATTGGAATGTAACATTGAGCACAAAATCTACTTGTGCCTCTGTTCAATTGAACATGACAAAACAAAGGAATTCTATCAAGTAAATGATTCGTTATTGATCCACTTCTTGAGCCACAAAATGATCACAATCCCATTCTGGGCCTGTATTCCCTGAGTTTGGGAACGTTGCTGTATGAAAAAAAAAAATATATATATACACTAAACAAAAATGTAAACGCAGCATGTAAAGTGTTGGTCCCATGTTTCATGAGCTGAAATAAAAGATCCCAGAAATTTCCCATAAACATAAAAAGCTTATTTCTCTCAAATGTTGTGCACAAATTTATTTACATCCCTGTTAGTAGGCATTTCTCTTTTACCAAAATAATCCATCCCCCTGACAGGTGTGGCATATCAAGAAGTTGATTTAACAGCATGATCATTACACAAGTGCATCTTGTGCTGGGGACAATAAAAGGCCACTCTAAAATGTCACACAACACAATTGTCACACAACACAATGCCACAGATGTCTCAAGTTTTGAGGGAGCGTGCAATTGGCATGCTGACTGCAGGAATGTCCACCAGAGCTGTTGCCAGATAAATTAATGTTCATTTCTTAGAGAATTTGGTAGTACGTCCAACCGGCCTCACAACCGCAGACCACGTGTATGGCATCATGTAGGCGAGTGGTTTGTTGATGTCAAAGTTGTGAACAGAGTGCCCCATGGTGGCGGTGGGGTTATGGTATGGGCAGGCATAAGCTACGGACAATGAACACAATTACATTTGATCAATGGCAATTTTAATGCACAGAGATACTGTGATGAGATCCTGAAGCCCATTGTTGTGCCATTCATCTGCCGCCATCACCTCATGTTTGAGCCTGATAATGCACAGCCCCATGTCGCAAGGTTCTGTACACAATTCCTAGAAGCTGAAAATGTCCCAGTTCTTCAATGGCCTGCATACTCACCAGATATGTCACCAATTAAGCATGTTTGGGATGCTCTGGATCGTCGTGTACTACAGCGTGTTCCAGTTTCCGCCAATATTCAGCAACTTCGTACAGCCATTGAAGAGGAGTGGGACAACATTCCACAGGCCACAATCAACAGCCTGATCAACTCTATGCGAAGGAGATGTCGTGCTGCATGAGGCAAATGCTGGTCACACCAGATACTGACTGGTTTTCTGATCCACGCCCCTACTTTTTATCAAAGGTATCTTTGACCAACAGATGCATATCTGTATTCCCAGTCATGTGAAATCCATAGATTAGGACTTAATTAACTAATTTCAGTTGACTGATTTCCTTATATGAACTGTAACTCAGTAAAATCTTTTAAATTGTTGCATGTTGCGTTTTATATTTTTGTTCAGTATATTTTATTGTATATATATATATATTACTATATTATATTTCACTGCTTGTCTTCTCGTTACTTCTTTGTCATGATACATTGTTATTGGTGAATTATATATGATTGGTCATAACATTTATAACATTGTTACTTCATGACTATAAAGGCTGGGTTTCAATCCAAGGCACACTGTTGACAAAACACCTTTTAAAGGCAATTTCCCTGAAGTTCGCAGAGATCACATTCATGGTCAACTCTGTGGATGTCGGTTCTGATTCTAATAATTAACTGGTTGATAAGCTGAACCAGGTTAGTTACAACTGGGGTCGAATTGAAAACCTACAGGAGGGTAGCTCTCCAGGAACAGGGTTGGAGAGCCCTGTCCTAGACTATCTTATACAAAGTGATTGGGCACTGATCTAGAATCCGTTTAGCTTTTTAGACCATAATTAATACGATTAAATGGAAAGAGGGACCTGATCCTAGATCAGCACTCCTACTTTGAGACGCTTTATGAATATTGGCCAGGAATAAAGAGTTAAAATATATCAGTCAACACATGTACCACACTCATGTTTCTTTATTTACAATAACTCTCTTTTATAAAAAAAATAAGGACCTCCATCATGACAGCGTGCGTAGTGTTTCAAAGCAAATCAATTTAAAATACACGCCCCCCCCCATATATAATACAATTTTATTACATGACATGGACCAATTGGACATAGACAGTAACAATACCCTACGGATGGGAAAGAGACATTTGGGATAGACATTCTTGGTTGATTGTCCATTGCAGGGAGGATCGCAGGGGGCTGAGTTGTCACTGAGAAGAATACTAAGATAGCTACACATTATCCAGAGATTACACGCCAACCTGCTCGTATTATGCAAAAACTCGCTGCATGCTTTGCTTTCCCTACCCTCCCTCGGCTGAGTCTGCTTGGTTGTAGGTCAAAGGTCAAAGACGTGGTGCCTGACTTGACCTGGGTGAACTCCTGCAGCCTGTGTAGGGCGCTTCAACCTGTGAAGCTATCCATGCTACTTAGAATTCATGCCCAATAAAAATGTACGTTCTAAGTGGTATGCTATAGTGTGACATTAAAGGATATTGGAACAGAGATCCCTGTTCATTAGGCAGCAAATGGTAGAAAATGGACTGAAACAGGGAGGAACTACCTGGTCTTGTCCAATAAGAAACTCTGAGGTCTGCAGACCTATATAAAAGCAATCTATCTGAATCATACCCATAAAAATCAATGGTCAATGCAGTGCAAATATGACATGGCCCCAGAATTTTCAGACAAATGTTCAATGTCTCGCTTAGGGACAGCTGATGTCTCAGCGTTACATTTAAAACCCTCCCCCTGCCAGAGTCAAGCTGGGAGAAGCTATTCTCTGCGACACAGGCCCAGACTGAGTGTGGGAAGCATTTACAAAGGCTTCAAAACAAAGAGGTTCAAAAGGGTTGCTTAAAGTGGCGTTCGCTCGATCGGTCGTTTCCTTATAGTCCTATACCGGTACAGTGACGATACATTTCCCAACGCAACGAGTCTATTTTATACATAATTAATCCTAAAATGTGACTAAATGAAACAAAAAGTCGCTTCAGGAGTGGCAGAACTGAACAATACCCAGTTGTGGCGCAATTGGAATTTAACATTGAGCACAAAATTTACTTGTGCCTCCGTTCGATTGAACATGACAAAACAAAGGAATTCTATCAAGTAAATCATTCGTTATTGATCCACGTCTTGAGCCACATTATGATCACAATCCCATTCTGGGCCTGTATTCACAAAGATCCTCAGTGTAGGAATGCCAATCTAGGATCAGTTTGGCTTTTAAATCATAATGCACAAGGTTTATGTCGACAGGGAGGACGTGATCCTAGATCAGTACTCCTACCCTGGGCCGTATCCACAAAGCGTCTCAGAGTAAAACATTTGGTGGTAAGTGCTGAGAATAGAGACATTTTACTCCTACTCTTATGGGTCAACATAAAAGCTATGCATGAAGCCTCTAGTCCTAATAGTCCCCCACCTAGTCAACAGATATTTAGGAGACCTCATGAGCTGTCCTAACCAGTTAAGAGATACCAACAGGTGTCTTGGTAATAGAAAAAGGCAGTGGCCATTGACAGGCAATTGCTTTGGAGTTTGATATTTCTATATGATCGATCCCATAAATAATCTAGACCTTGTATCTTGCGCTTTTGACAATGATTTCACAAGGCTTAATTCACATGATAGCCTATGCCTAAATACTTATAACCACTAGGCTAATAAACAATCACACATTTTTCTTTCAATTATTTCATTAACCTACATCATGTCATTTGAAGTTAGCCCTTTGGAGCACAATATCACGCTGTTAAACAAGATGCCTAAATTGGGCATGCCTATGGGTTGGGCAATTGAAAGCATCTACAGCCTGTTAACTTTGATTCTGTTTGGTAAAAATTATAGACCTTTTTGAAACGCTTTATGCAAAATTGTCGGCAAGTGACTTGATGCCTAGTGTGCCAAAGCTATTTTGAGTTTTTGAACAGGAGTGTGCTGAAATAACGTTAATATTTATCAACATTCAGCTTTTAACAGCTGTGAAACACTGATTCAATATGCCTATCACATTATTCAAAATATCAGAAATGGTCCCAAAAATATTACGCAAACCAACATATTAGGAAACATTTAAAGTGATCGTGTCAGGCAAATTATATCAAACGTTTTACCATTGCAACATCTGATGTACAGTCACATTCACCGTAGTTATCTGAAGCGTGCTATACAGCTGTCAGTGCCTCATCGTGATTGCTTATTCTTCATCATTTGCAAAAATGTCAACGAGCGTCATCACTATCCTTCTTTTGCGGTACCTCAAACTGTCGTGATTACCAACTGAGAAACTTTTATGAGTTGATTTTACTCCTGGCTCAGAGTTTGTCTGAGCAGTGTCTTATCATCCTAAAATCTACTCTGAGCTGGGAGTTGTTTTTGGCTTAGACAGGATCCTAGGACCTTTTCTGATACGCTTTGTGGAATATGGCCCCTGGTGTGTTTTCTGCTCTATAGAGTAATAAAGGCACCAGCAGTAGATAGACAAAGATCAGGCTTCTTCACTAGATAATACTCCTAAATCATCTATCCTAGCATGTACACATATTATCATAATTAATGGCTGGCTATAAGTTCATTGTGGCGACTACTTAATCCTTAAACGTTGTAAGAAAATACATGGCATCATCAGTGTGTAATAATTATAAACAACAAAGTTAAAAGATCCAGCTTGGCTGTGAGAGGATGAGCTAGCTACAGTTTGGTCCTTCTACCCGAAGGTGGCGCCACAGTTGGGACATCTCCTCTGGCGCAGCGCCAGGCAGAAGAGGATCCCCAGGGGGAAGAAGAAGATGGCACACATGATGCCCAGACAGGTGAAGTCATCCTCCAGCACGCCCACTCTGAAAAAAATAAAAGGTACACATTAAAGAGGCTAGATGGAATTTTTGCCTCTGGTGATGCTCTCGAGCAAAAAGGGGCCACCTGAGCAAAAACATATGTTTGCCTATAAGTAAGGATTTGTGTGGTTTTGTGAGATAACAAGTTATTTAAATTATCATATTACATATACGTAACACATTCAAGCAAAAACATTTAAACTCATCAATTAGCAACTCAATTCCCATACACTCCTGAAACCATTTTTAAGACTGAGAGAGGACTTGTCAATGTACCCACCTCCCAAAACCCAAGAGCAGGAAAGCGAACACCTATTGGTGTAGAGATTGAACCATTTGTGTTGTGTGTCAAGTTGCCACGGGGCAATATAACTAATAAAGAGAGAGAGAGAACTAATGGGAAAACAGTAACAAGTAGCCTACACTTTCTTGCAGTCATTGTGACTCTGGGCTTTCTAGGTTTCCGTGGTAATGCAGGGAGCAGAGAGTAACACAGACAGACAGTCCAGTGTTGGAGATGCAGTGCTATTAGATGTATGAGCCGTGAACATAATCATGACACTGGTATGTAGCCTAAAGGCACATTGTGGTCTCACAGTGTGACCTGGGGAATCACATGGAGAGAGAGTTAACTCTGGGTTCCCCTGACTCCAGAGTGGCTGCTAGTAGGAACAGAGCTGCAGGGGTTAACAGCAATCAGGAACTGCTGCCTGGTATTATGACTCCACATGTTGGCTGACTAGCATCATGTCCAATGCATCTGTCAACTCCCCTTAGAGGAAATCTACATTGTATAGAACCAAACATGCTAGATGTTGAACTGTAGTGATTACACAATACACATACTAGCCCATCACAATCACATTATGGTGTGCTAAAATCAGAAGTGCTTTTTGTGACAGATATTTAAATACAGTGTTTATAAGCGTTGTGACTAGAGGGAGTACAGCTGTGACCGGAGGTTACTTTTCGTAGCAGATTAGGAGAGCATGTTAGCTAGCCCTAACCCTTTTCCTAACCTTAACCTAAGTCTCCTAACCTGCCACGTTAATGATCCTAACCTGCTGAGTAAATTCACCTAACCTGCTACGAAAAAAAAGTAACTTCCGGTCGTAGCTGTACTTCCTCTAGTCAGAATAATTTCTAAGGGTAATAATGGTGGACAGCAAAAATATGTGAGCAACAACAGGTGGAGCGCAAATGTAATGTGGACTTTAACGTTTTGCCTGCTGTGTGTGTGTGTTTGTCTGTGTGTGTGTGTTTCCAACCTGCCCCTGCCCTGCTGTGTGTGTGTGTGTGTGTGTTGCCAACCTGCCCCTGCCCTGCTGTGTGTGTTGCCAACCTGCCCCTGCCCTGCTGTGTGTGTGTTGCCAACCTGCCCCTGCCTTGCTGTGTGTGTGTTGCCAAGCTGCCCCTGCCCTGCTGTGTGTGTGTGTTGCCAAGCTGCCCCTGCCCTGCTGTGTGTGTGTGTTGCCAAGCTGCCCCTGCCCTGCTGTGTGTGTGTGTGTTGCCAACCTGCCCCTGCCCTGCTGTGTGTGTGTGTTGCCAAGCTGCCCCTGCCTTGCTGTGTGTGTGTGTGTGTTGCCAACCTGCCCCTGCCCTGCTGTGTGTGTGTTGCCAACCTGCCCCTGCCCTGCTGTGTGTGTGTGTGTTGCCAACCTGCCCCTGCCTTGCTGTGTGTGTGTTGCCAACCTGCCCCTGCCCTGCTGTGTGTGTGTGTTGCCAAGCTGCCCCTGCCCTGCTGTGTGTGTGTGTTGCCAACCTGCCCCTGCCCTGCTGTGTGTGTGTGTTGCCAAGCTGCCCCTGCCTTGCTGTGTGTGTGTGTGTGTTGCCAACCTGCCCCTGCCCTGCTGTGTGTGTGTGTGTGTGTTGCCAACCTGCCCCTGCCCTGCTGTGTGCCATTTACATGTCATGGGTGTGCTTATCAGCGGAGTATCAGAGCGTACCAAGGCCACAAACTGGACTGGAACCCTTTATTGAACCTGGCAATGCAAACAATGGTGACTGAAACTAAAACAAGCTGTCTCTCTCTACTCTCAATCTAACGCTCCTAGAAATCAGGCTCTATTATTTAGCTTTCATTTGGACCAGGCCTCAGAAGTGGAAACAAAAGTCTGTATTTACACCAAACACTGGGGTAAATTCTCATATTGGAAACATGTCATTAGTTTATTCTATCAACAATTAGACTTTTATTATGTTCATTTTGAAAAGACAAATTTGACAACAAAAAAAATTATTTTTACAAAATCAACACAAGACAGACACTACAGCTGCTGGGTCATGTTCATTAAGCACCAAACGGAAGAAAACAGACCAATAGGAAGGGACTACCTAGACTTGTCCAATAAGAAACCCTCCTTTTCTGTTGCAAAACATTTTAAAGTTTATTAGGGCAAACGACCCTGAACATTTTCATATAAAGAGCACGTTGACCTTCAAGAGCATCAGACATAGTGTACAGTCAATCAACTTCCTCTCTCCTGTCACGTGTCTGTGTTCTTAGCAGCTGACACTGAAAGGATGTTGAGTCAAACAAATTGAAACCACTGCGGTAACTCTCCAAATGAAGCTCTACCCTACATCAGCAGCTTTAGCGTGTACTAGGCCTGCCTGCCTGGCCACAGTGCAGTGTGTGTAATACTGTTGTTGTGACGCTCACATGTAGCTATGCTGTGGAACACACTTTAGACAAAGATAGAGCAGAAGACAACCGTCATTTGACACATGGAAACCATGTGCCCACCACAGGAACACCGCTGATTGACACTGAAAAGGCTTTCCTTGATGGCAGATTAGCCTACTGGCTCGTCTTGGTTTGGCAGACCCCTACACCTTCTCCCAAATCTGGTTCCCCCTCCAACTGTGGTTCATCTCAAGGTTTCAAACACGGCTCTTCTTTCTTTTGTTTGTTCTTTCTAAATCACCTTAGTTACACCCTTGTTATATCATTACTCTGCCTGTGACACCCTGTGACTTTCAGAGAGTTCAGCTCTGTGCTAACAGCAGCTTAATGGAACATTTCACCACTTTCCAACCTCATTCGTCATCTCCTGCATCACCCCAACGTCAACATATGTGAAAACGGCCTGGTGACAACATATTGTGTGCATCATGTGATGTTAACCAACTGAGCAGTCCAAGGTTACTTTACTAAAATATAACAAAACAATTTAAAACAACCAGACTGAATTGAATGCTGCCAGAAATCCAGACAGTCCCCCCTCCATAGAGATACAATACTGTTGTTCTGTTGAATTCTGTGCCCCCTTTCCAACGTACAGTATGCCTCCCCACTATGTGTGTGTTGTTTGGGGCTGGTGTCTCACCTGCAGGCCGGGCAGCCCCCCACCACCACCACGGAGGGCTGGATGATGGTGTATGTGCCTGGGTAGGGCTGCTGGGCTATGGCTGGGCCCATCTGAGCACTGGGGCCTTCTTGGAACCCTGTGGTAGGACAAGGGGAGGGAGAGGAGAGGAGTTTGAGGTTGAATTAGGCTAGGTCTGAACTACAAGGGGCAGTCATGAGTGTCAGTTTCCGTTTCAGTCAAGTTTCAGTCAGTCAAGAGAGGTACAGTATTTGTCACTAGTAAAATAACAAAACAACGAACCCAGTACCCTAGAGCACAGACTACTCTAACACACACTTGTACATGTGTGAAATAGGACAAATATAAGCATCCACCCAAATTATTATTATTATTACAGTCTACAGTGTGTAGGCTACTCTATAAATGTCAGCAAGTTCATACAACCTAAAATAAAAGTTACGTTACTGCGGTTCCAGCATTTGCACATCGGCGCGTAACGACGTCATACTTCAGGAGCTAGCTTTGGACGTTTGGTAACAACCCTACAATGTGATCTACTTGCCTGGGCCAGTGGGGTACTGATACGGCGGCGGCTGTTGAAAGCCCGGGGGTGCAGGGGTTGGGGCGGGGATAGCTCCATAATTGTGCTGCTGGCCATATTCATACGCCCCCGGGACGACGTTAGCATAAGCGGGAGGACGGTCTTGGAGAAGAGGTTTGCTGTCCATATCTGTTGCGTACTCAAGTTATCTTCCTCTTTCTTTGACTTGGCTGGCCCTCTTCTTCCCACACAAATTGGATTTACTTAGACGGTGTTGCCTCGAGTCATACGACTTTCGCAGGCACGGAAGTGGTACAAAAAAACTAAGAAAACACGACGCGCAAAAATTAAAGTTATCGCCTCTCTCCATGTGCCAACTTTGTCACCGACTGCACCACCCGAAACACTAGCAGGACTGTTCAGTCGAAAGGGAGGATGCTTTTAAAAAATCAGGGAAACGTCTAAAATATCGCCATCTTATCACCTCATTATGTGCTTTCTTGTCAAAAGAACCTCTCCAATCACTAGCGCCCAAGGAACAGTTGTAAACTCAGAATTCGTTTTCCCCTTTCTGTCTGGATTGTCACAAGACTCAAATCATGTGACGCGCTATGGAACGCCTATGTGCGGAGAAAGCGGTCGTGTTCGAGAGGGTCACATTTGTCAAGTCGGTGACCAAAGTCTGTTGCATTCTCGGGATACAAATTGTCTGACTTGTGCCTATGAAGTTTTGAATGCAAGTTTCTGCAGTTGTTCTTCACCAACTTAATCCTGCAGCCATTGGCTGCATTGTGGGAGGCTCTATTGTCAACCAATCATTTGGGTGTTTTTCTTTTTTGACCCATGCAAACGTGACCAAAGACATGACTGAAACAGGAACCAATATAACAATGTGTGTGTACAGTGGATATACCATAAAACTTCAATTAATAGCCCTGGTATGTATTTGCTTAAATTAGTGAACACAACAGGAGCTTATTTGAGCCAGGCACACTGCTTTTGCTCATATGCATAGTTCATATTTTAATTCCAGCGTTCACTTCCAGCATTTTAATCAATCAATCAATCAATCAATTTTATTTTATATAGCCCTTCTTACATCAGCTAATATCTCGAAGTGCTGTACAGAAACCCAGCCTAAAACCCCAAACAGCTAGTAATGCAGGTGTAGAAGCACCTGCACTAATGTGTTATCATTTACACAGTGTCACGTTTCTTTTGTCTTAGAATGCCTCTCTAAAACATAATCATTATTATCCTCTTTGACTGTGCATTTTCGGCAGTTCGTACTTTCGCCACTAGTAAGAACTGCCGAAATCGGGCAATCGGCCGATTTCTGGGGGTCTATATTTCCGAAGTTGTTGACTGTTTTTGTGCTGGCCAGTTAGCTAGCAATTGTCAGCTGTTAGCAGCGAATGGCTAACAGTTTCTTACTTGTGATAAAAACAGATGATTGCCATAATTTTTTTGAGTCATTACTGATTTATTTAATGTAACAAATCAAACATTAAAACTCGTAAACAATTAATGGTAAACTAGTAAACAATTCATTTAGACCTGGCGTTTATTTGCTCTAATGTGTGTAGTTGCCCTGCTGGCTATCAAAAGGGACAGGTGGCTATTTGAGGCTGTGTTTAATTGAAGTTTCACAGTATACGTTTACGTTTACATTTTAGTTATTTAGCAGACGCTCTTATCCAGAGCGACTTACAGTTAGTGATTGCATACATTTTTCATACTGGCCCCCCATGGGAAATAAATGTGATATTTATGACTGTAAGTCGCTTTGGATAAAAGCGTCTGCTAAATGGCATATTATTATTATTATTATTATTATTATTATTATTATTATTATATTTGAGTCTCTCTCTCTCACTACACACATAATATATTTTATTATGATTTCAGTGTGTGAGTGTGTGCTATGGGGGTTAGATACATGTTTATTTCAACATGATAAAGAAAACATTTTTTAAACAATGGCAACACTGCCATGTTGATCTGAGACTTGCTGTTGGAAAACCACATTAGTGTCCGTCTTTCGCAGATGCACCTCCCCCGACTTCACTCCTCGACTTTCGTCTACAGTCGGTTGCTTTAGCCTTACCACTCAAACGCGCCCAGCGCTTCTTAAAGTGGCAGTCCATCAATTAAAACACTTCCAGTGCTGTGTTGTAGCAAGAACCTCTCCCTAATTGTATTTGAAAATGCATGCATACTAGGCTATCATTCAAACGTTGTATTAAACTAGACCCACACAACAGTCTTGGTTTATCTCACCTAAACCTACTTCTGCACAACAATTATGACATGCTGTATGACCAAATGTAACGCTAGGCATACATAAGGGTTATGATATTTAGAAATAATAGGCATGCCCTATTGAATTAATTGCATGCAGAATGACAACACTAGGCCTATATCAAGGCTATATAGCCTTCAAACTCAAGTCTGGACCTCGACGCCAGTTCCACTGCCCTTTTCTTGTGTTGTCACATTTCCTATTAATATATAGCCTCCCAATTTTATAAAGAGTGTTGCCTAAAACAAAATAACTATAATGTCACTGTAGTAGCTCACTGACAATAACAAATATTGGCCCATGGTCTATTCGAAGGCATGCAAATATCGTGATTATGATAAATAATTATTGAGTCAACTAAAACCTACCTACTGTTTAATTATTTAGATCTAACTGGTGCGGAATTAATAATTAAGATACCGGTAGTAAGCTATATGTGCGCGTCTCTCCACTTCTCCGTCAAACAGCTGCAGCCGTCGGAAAAATATACGAGCCCACGCAGTTTGTCCAATCAGAGGACGAGATTCTGGACACCTGCAAAATGTCAGCCAATCCGAGTAACAGTTCCTCCATTTCCTGTTGTGTATTTGGAATGAGACATTATACCTTCAGCATGGGAATAAAAAGCGGATAGAATAGAATAATCGGATGGATGATTTGGCCAACTAAATGCTCCTAAACCTACAAGAAGGGGGATAGAGAGTAAGTATGGAATTTGAACCTCTCTATGTCGCTGTTATAACGGAATATTGGATGACGTATTCGGGGACAGGACGCAAGTGGAGTCTATCAAGTCAGTGACACTTTGCAGGACAGGACTAGATACATTGAAGTTTGGTCATGTTTTGCTGTTTGTCATCAACTCAAACCACAGTCAGTTGGCCTAAATGTTCCTATTTCAATTGTCCTATTGATATTGAATTTCTTTCCATGCTGGGGCGCATCAACATGCATGGCAGGTGTCCGGTTTTAACGCACCTGGGTGTCTGATAACATGACGCGTCTTATCAGTGTTCCTTGACAACCGTTGATCGGTTTTCGTTATTCAGGTGCAAGCCGGTCCTTACAACGTTATTCCTCGGTGCATAGGCTATATCAATTAGATAAATGTCCTGAAACCCACATAGCCAGGCTACTCTAAAATAGGTACCAAAAATGTTTAAGCAGCCTGCCGACACCGTTGGCAGGGATATCATTGGGACCGATGGCACATACAATTTCCCCATTCCAATATTTATAGGGTTAGTGTTCCCACACGGCCATATCTCCATGTTACAGCGCGTGTTTACGGAAGACGGAGGCGACCACCTGTGCTAATTAGCGTGCTCCAAACACCTGTGTGTAGGCCTAACGGAAGAAGGCCTCGAGAAACGTGTTATAACTGATCAATACTGTAGGCTACAACTGTGATAAAGCCGGTTAAAACAGTGTACAGTAAGTGTATATTTTGCATTAGTAAAACTATTTTGATATGATAGTAAATGGCTTTATGTTTCTAGAACCGTATCACAATTGAGAATCCATTCACATTTGGCTGTTTTAGGTGCCAGAGCCAGTCTAACGTTACCTATGAAAAGAACAAGCTCCTTGGACCTTAAGGAGTAACGGTAGGCTCGCCTACACTCCTTAAGAGTACATTCTTGGGCTAGTAGGTAGGCTACAGGAAAGAAAACAAAACTGACAGTGTGTAGAAAACAAATCTACTGGCAGCTAAGCCAAACATTTTTATAACCAACCCAAGATAGATGACAGACTGTCATTTCCAATGAGCAAATTAATCATAGTGGGCAGAACAAGCAAGGAGGTGAGCGGAGCCAAGCACGAGCTAGCGAGATCCTACTGGCGTGTTGTAGCTTGTATTTGCATCTTTCCGTTAGGGAAAGCCTATTCTGTGAAGTGCAGGTGTGCAATAACTCTGCAAAATTTAGCCCACTCTGTTCTTAACAAATTCTAGTTTTGGGAACAGAGAACTGTATTGAGATCAAATGTTTCATCAATGAGAAAATTAGCAGAATGTTGGTCAAAATCCCTCTCCCACAGCCCACATTTGGTGTTGAGTGGAAACGCCAACCTGATGCTTCAGGCTCATTGTTCTATCTGTGGCTAAGCTTTTACTAAAACAATCTGCTAGAGAATAGACAACGCTCAGCACAGAGCAATGTTGTATACGGTAAGGCTGGGTCAGTGTGGTGAGTGGATTATAAACTGCCTGTGTTTTAACATCAGGCCCCATCATGTCCAGCTCGCTCCTATGGGCAGTGGACGTGTACGGGAAGGTGTACAGCCTATCCACCACCAGAGGGCGCTGGGAGCGTGACGAGGACACCCTCCTGGAGCTAAAGCGCATTACCGCTGGACAGAGGTGCAGCTGGGGAATTGGCTGCGACCACCATGTTTACCTCAATATCGACCCTGGGGAGGTGCCCATTCGCTATCGGGAGGAAACCTATGAGAACCAGGTATTGTGATCATGCCATCTCACCTCTGCCAACATTGATTTATTTAAAAATGTCTGTTCGTGCGTGCCTGCATATGCACATGCATGCTTAGTGTCTGTGTGTTCAATTGTACCTTACAACACTGTTTGTGTGGTTTCAGAGGTGGAACCCAGTGGATGGCTTCACTGACGTGCTGCTGCCCACCGACCGCTGGGCCTGGAGTGACCTCACAGGGGTGACCGCCCAGCCACTGCACAGCTTCCATTTGCCCTCAGACAGCTGGGAGTGGGAGGGGGATTGGTACGTGGACCAGGTCTGCGCTGGAGGAGACCCTACTGAGACCGGGGTGAGAGACTGGAAGTTGGAACACCAACTATTGCACAGAAGTCTGGTGTAGCAGGCTTTGAGGTGCTCAATAAATCTATGGAGTGCATCTCAAATGGTACCCTATTCCCTAGTGCACTACTTTTGACCAGAGCCCTATAGGTCCTGCTCAAAAGTAGTGCACTATAAAGCCTTGGAGACATCAAACAAACTGCTGTTGATCAAGACGAGCCAACTGCTGACCTCTGAACTCTTTCACTTGTCAGCTTAATTGTGTGTGTTTGTATGTGTGTGCGTGCATCTGTGTATTTAGGGCTGGGAGTATGCAGTGGACTTTCCTGCTAACTTCTCCAGAGAGAAGAAGTGGAACTCGTGTGTTTGTCGTAGGCGATGGATTAGAGACAGGAGATACAAAGCCAGAGGCTCTTGGACCAAGGTACAGTATGTAGGCCCACACATGACTTGATTTGGTCCTCTTGACGTAATTGTGAGCATATGTCGTCTACCATGACTCCCCACCTCATTCGTTTCTGTGTGAGATCTTTTTCCGAGCCTGGTCTATTTATCTTGCCAACTCACGTGTGACAATTACCATATAATTTGTCTGACTGCACAAACAGATCTAGGACCAGGCTAGGAGATCCCCACTGAAGGCTACATGCACCCCTGTAGGTATTACAATACCTCCAGTGAATATATCCTCGTTTTAACAGCTCCTCTCCTGACTGTACCTCCTCCTCAGATCCCCTTGGACCACCCCAAGCGGCCCCCTCTCCCCCTCAGTGACATCAGCTGTGGAGGTTGGGAGATGAGCGACCAACCCGGGCGATATCACTTCCTGTGGGGTGTGTCCCAACAAGGACAGGTCAGTATGGCGGATCCACCACAGGTTCTTCTGCTATGATGTTTCTTGTGTCTTAATTCACCTGCATACAAACAGATTCTTCACACACAATGACAATACCTTTCAAATGTAATGTTGTTCACCTTCATGTTTTGTACAAACTCGCACACTCCAGGCCTGCATATCTTAATGATGACAATGACAACCTAAACCCATAATAACATAGAGCCTCAAAGTGTTGGCAACTTGGTGCGGTGTAAAATACAGCACACTAGAGGCCTCCCGGGTGGCGCAGCGGTCTAAGGCTCTGCATCACAGTGCTTGAGGCGTCAATACAGACCCAGGTTCGATCCCAGGCCGCGACCGGGAGACCCATGAGGCGGCACACAATTGGCTCAGCGTCGTCCGGGTTAGGGGAGGGTTTGGCCGAACGGGATGTCCTTGTCATTGGTGCGGCTGGCTTCCGGGTTAAGCGAGCAGTGTGTCAAGAAGCTGTGCGGCTTGGTAGGGTCTTGTTTCGGGGGATGCATGGCACTCGACCTTCGGGAGTTGCAGCGACAAGACTGTAACTACCAATTGGATATCACGAAAAAGGGGTAATAAAAAACAATAATATGAATACAGCACACTAGATCATTGTGCAGTTCAAACATTTGGCCACTAGAGAGCAGCATTACTCCATCATTGTTATTGCGTAGGGGTCTTAGACTGTTCTTCCTCTTTACATCCAGTCTTGATCTGCTATTCCAGGAATCTCTCAGCATACCATCCTCTATAGGGATAATATGTGAATATATCTTCCATTTACACCACTATAAATATAATGGACTGAGGTCAACGTCACTTACTTCAGTGAATGTGAAACTCTCAAGGCAGCGGTTTTCAAAGTTTGTCATGTGAGGTGCCTATATGTGAATGCTTTGCATTCCTACCTTCACTAAATGTTATGTTTCAGTCATCTTTTTAATTGACTGATGTGAAGATCACATCAAATTATAATGAAAGTCTGCACACACATTAACTGAACTTAATTTTCATTTCAACCAGAATGTCTTCTAACTCTTGCAACCCTTAAGAGTTGTGAGTTAACGCAAGTCTTGAGTGGTGATGTGGACACACACACACAATAGTGTGATAATCAAGAACAGTTGCGAGACGGACCATGGTGGTGTTGCCTCCTCTCTCTCCTCAGGTGTGGTTCAGGAGTGGCATCCTGCCGCAAGTCCCAGAGGGCCAGTGCTGGGAGGAGGTGGAGGCCCCCCGGGAGGTGGCCCAGATCTCTGCCGGACCAGGGGACTTGCTCTGGGCTGTACTCTGGGACGGACAGCTACTGGTCCGCACAGGCATCTGCCTGGACAGTCCTACAGGTATGGGGTGATATTTGGTTCACACAACCATCTGATAGTATACTGATGATATATTTGGTAATGTGTAAGGGATCATGTAGACAACGACTTGTATGTGGTACCAGAGTTAGATGTGAAGCTAGGTTAATTATTTTGTCCTATACGGCAGGTTTATTCTAAAAACATTGGTAGTACTACAGAGATTGGCAAACCATGCTTCACAAGCTTTTGACTTAGTTACAGAGGACCTTGTTAGGCCAACTTTCTTTTTGTTACGTCTTTGTATTGATTTTACACAAACAATTACCGTACAAATAGTTTTTCTACTACCCTATCAGGTTCTTCCTGGGTGGTGGTGGATTCTCCCCCAGTAAAGGAGGGCGGAGCCATCCATGTTGGTGTGGGGGTCAGCGTGGTGTGGGCCATCACTAAGGACTACAAAGTGAGACTACATCCACCCCTTCCTGAACTTGTCTCCTGACCAGGAAGGACTCTGGACCCTAGTTGTAGTCTGTAGAGCAGTACAGTAGCCTACCCTACAGAGCAGATCTATAGTGAGTGTGTGTGTGTGTGTGTGTCCAGGTGTGGTTTCGGCGGGGGGTGAACTCCCATAACCCCTGTGGCTCAGGATGGATCAGCATCGGAGGGGAGATGATGATGGTGGATGTGGGACTCAATGACCAGGTGAGACAACACCAAGGATTTACAGTGGAAGTCGGAAGTTTACATACAGTCGTGGTCAAAAGTTTTGAGAATGACACAAGTATTGGTCTTCACAAAGTTTGCTGCTTCAGTGTTATGAGATATTTTTGTCAAATGTTACTATGGTATAATTACAAGCATTCCATAAGTGTCAAAGGCTTTTATTGACAATTACATTAAGTTTATGCAAATAGTCAATATTTGCAGTGGTGACCCTTCTTTTTCATGACCTCTGCAATCTGCCCTGGCATGCTGTCAATTAACTTCTGGGCCACATCCTGACTGATGGCAGCCCATTCTTGCATAATCAATGCTTGGAGTTTGTCAGAATTTGTGGGTTTTTGTTTGTCCACCCGCCTCTTGAGGATCGACCACAAGTTCTCAATGGGATTAAGGTCTGGGGAGTTTCCTGGCCATGGACCCAAAATGTCGATGTTTTATTCCCGAGCCACTTAGTTATCACTTTTGCCTTATGGCAAGGTGCACCATCATGGTGGAAAAGGCATTGGTCGTCACCAAACTGTTCTTGGATGGTTGGGAGAAGTTGCTCTTGGAGGATGTGTTGGTACAATTCTTTATTCATGGCTGTGTTCTTAGGCAAAATTGTGAGTGATCCCACGCCCTTGGCTGAGAAGCAACCCCACACATGAATGGTCTCAGGATGCTTTACTGTTGGCATGACACAGGACTGATGGTAGCGCTCACCTTGTCTTCTCCGGACAAGGTGTTTTCCGGATGCCCCAAACAATCGGAAAGGGGATTCATCAGAGAAAATGACTTTACCCCAGTCCTCAGCAGTCCAATCCCTGTACCCTTTGCAGAATATCAGTCTGTCCCTGATGTTTTTCCTGGAGAGAAGTGGCTTCTTTCCGGCCCTTCTTGACACCAGGTCATCCTCCAAAAGTCTTTGCCTCACTGTGCGTGCAGATGCACTCACACCTGCCTGCTGCCATTCCTGAGCAAGCTCTGTACTGGTGGTGCCCCGATCCCGCAGCTGAATCAACTTTAGGAGACGGTCCTGGCGCTTGCTGGACTTTCTTGGAGGCCCTGACGCCTTCTTCACAACAATTGAACCGCTCTCCTTGAAGTTCTTGATGATCCGATAAATGGTTGATTTAGGTGCAATCTTACTAGCAGCAATATCATTGCCTGTGAAGCCCTTTTTGTGCAAAGCAATGATGACGGCACATGTTTCCTTGCAGGTAACCATGGTTAACAGAGGAAGAACAATGATTTCAATCACCACCCTCCGTTTAAAGCTTCCAGTCTGTTATTCTAACTCAATCAGCATGACAGAGTGATCTCCAGCCTTGTCCTTGTCAACACTCTCACCTGTGTTAACGAGATAATCACTGACATGATGTCAGCTAGTCCTTTTGTGGCAGGGCTGAAATGCAGTGGAAATGTTTTTTTGGGATTAAGTTCATTTTCATGGCAAAGAAGGATTTTGCAATTAATTGAAATTCGTCTGATCACTCTTCATGACATTCTGGAGTATATGCAAATTTCCATCATCAAAACTGAGGCAGCAGACTTTGAAAATTAGTATTTGTGTCATTCTCAAAACTTTTGACCACGACTGTACACCTTAGCCAAATACATTTAAACTCAGTTTTTCACAATTCCTGACATTTAATCCTAGTAAAAATGCCCTGTCTTAGGTCAGTTAGGATCACCACTTTATTTTAAGAATATGAAATGTCAGAATAATAGTAGAGAATGATTTATTTCAGCTTTTATTTCTTTCATCACATTCCCAGTGGGTCAGAAGTTTACATACACTCAATTAGTATTTGGTAGCATTGCCTTTAAATTGTTTAACTTGGGTCAAACGTTTCCGGTAGCCTTCCACAAGCTTCCCACAATAAGTTGGGTGAATGTTGGCCCATTCCTCCTGACAGAGCTGGTGTAACTGAGTCAGGTCTGTAGGCCTCCTTGCTCGCACACGCTTTTTCAGTTCTGCCCACACATTTTCTATAGGATTGAGGTCAGGGCTTTGTGATGGCCACTCCAATACCTTGACTTTGTTGTCCTTAAGCCATTTTGCCACAACTTTGGAAGTATGCTTGGGGTCATTGTCCATTTGGAAGACCCATTTGCGACCAAGCTTTAACTTCCTGACTGATGTCTTGAGATGTTGCTTCAATATATCCACATCATTTTCCTTCCTCATGATGCCATCTATTTTGTGAAGTGCACCAGTCCCTCCTGCAGCAAAGCACCCCCACAGCATGATGCTGCCACCCCCATGCTTCACGGTTGGGATGGTGTTCTTCGGCTTGCAAGCACCCCCCTTTTTCCTCCAAACATAACGATAGTCATACAGTTCTATTTTTGTTTCATCAGACCAGAGGACATTTCTCCAAAAAGTATGATCTTTGTCCCCATGTGCAGTTGCAAACTGTAGTCTGGCTTTTCTAAGGCGGTTTTGCAGCAGTGGCTTCTTCCTTGCTGAGTGGCCTTTCAGGTTATGTCGATATAGGACTTGTTTTACTGTGGATTTAGATACTTTTGTACCTGTTTCCTCCAGGATCTTCACAAGGTCCTTTGCTGTTGTTCTGGGATTGATTTGCACTTTTCGCACCAAAGTACGTTCATCTCTAGGAGACAGAACATGTCTCCTTCCTGAGCGGTATGACGGCTGCGGGGTCCCATGGTGTTTATACTATTGTACTATTGTTTGTACAGGTGAACGTGGTACCTTCAGGCATTTGGAAATTGCTCCCAAGGATGAACCAGACTTGTGGAGGTCTACAATTTTTTGGGATGTAGGTAGGCCTTGAAATACATCCACAGGTACACCTCCAACTGACTCAAATGATGACAATTAGTCTATCAGAAGCTTCTAAAGCCATGACATAATTTTCTGGAATTTTCCAAGCTGTTTAAAGGCACAGTCAACTTAGTGTATGTAAATTTCTAACCCACTGGAATTGTGATACAGTGAAATAATCTGTCTGGAAACAATTGCTGGAAAAATTATTTGTGTCATGCACAAAGTAGATGTCCTAACCGACTTGCCAAAACTATAGTTTGTTAACAAGAAATTTGTGGAGTGGTTGAAAAATGAGTTTTAATGACTCCAACCTAAGTGTATGTAAACTTCTGACTTCAACTGTATATACACTAGATGACTGATATGGGGTGCTGTGTTGAAGCCACCTTGCCTCCATTTTGACACTCCCCCACCATTGTAAACATATATTTTGGAAGGTATAGAAATGCATTTATTAATGTTTACATTTGTTTTTGCCACCTTATTCTATTAAAGACACCTTAATGCATACTTTAAAAAATATATATTATGCAAGCTAAAAATATATAAAAACATTTCCCCTTAAAGTAACATTTTTTGAGATTACTAATGTTACTTACAAAAAATACTTTAAATACTTGTAATTTTGTCCTTGAAACCTTTAATTGAACTGTAGAATTCCATTCATTCCTATGAAGCACTGCTCCTACTGGGGAGTGCCAATATGGCCGACCGGTGGCTTCAAATCCTCTCAATGGCCAATACATAGGATCTGCAATCCAGGGTTTATATACATCATTTGACAACACACATCAGGACACTTTTTTTCCCGGATATATTTACATAGGTAGATTTGTAATGATCAGTATCTTGTCGTTGTCATATTTTCTAAGACTTGATGGTTCTCCTCTCTTAATGGAGAGTGCTGGTTAGAACCTTAGAAGAGATGTGTGTGTTTGGCGGGTGGCTCTCATCCTCTGTGACAACCAAGTTCTGATTACATGGCCATTCTCTCATGTCTGTTTGACGATTTAAGCTTAATTAGATCCTGCACACATACCATTCAACCCCCAGTCTGCCCCTTCACCTCCTCCCCCCCCCCCCCCCCTCTTCCCTAGCCCAGGTTCTGGCATTCCCAGTCTTGACCGATTCACATTTCCCTGGTGGTGTATTTCTGTACAGGGCTGGGGCTGGGCTGGAGTTGAAGTCAGGGTGGAGGTTGAAGGGGCTGCTGGCTCTGTTTCCCTCTGCTGAGTCTAAGAGAGGAGTTGCTAGTACTGCCAACTCTCCCCTCTGCCCTCCTCTCTCTCCTCCTGTCTCCCTTCTCTCTCCTCTCCTCCTACCCCCTCCTCTCCTACCCCCTCCTCTCCTGTCTCCACCCGCTCCTCTCCTGTCTCCCCTCTCCTCTCATTTCCAGCCTCCCCTCTCCTCCTCCTGTCTCTCTCTTGTCTCCCCTCTCCTAGGCTTGGGTGGTATCCAGATTGTCATACCTTCATACTGACCTTGTGTCATATCGGGTCGCTATTCACAAACCCCAGTGAACCTTTGTAATCCAAAGGTTAGCAATGCTAATAAGTACATGTAAAATCCCATAGAGAATGCTAACGAGCGCATTGCAAAAAATTGTATAGTCTCTGACCTAAAGTATTTGCAGGACAGACATCCCAGCTCAAAGTTATACAAGTAACAAAAAAATGCTACTCACAGTTTGTTGTACGCACATAACAAATATTAGACAGCAAGGCTCTTGATCCAGGAGGGGATTCTCTGCTGTTACCAAGCTAAGCTTGATTTTGGAAGAAGCTAACCACTTAGCTAGATAGCTAACTACTAAATTAGAAAACCAAATGTACAACAGCAGAGCATTTAGCACAGTGGTCACCAACCAGTAGATCGCGATCGACTGGTCGATCTCCAAGGCATTCCTAGTCGATCACCAAACATTTCTGTAAAAAAGCCAACGATAAAGCCTTGTGTTCCTATTTTTTTTATTTGTTTCACGCTGTTGGCGGAAGGTGCACTTCATTCAGCAACCCTAGCTCCGGGAAGGCAAAGTGTTCCCATTTTGAACCATTTCATGTGTCTGAAGGTAGAACTCTGCCTACCCGGCAGGCCCAGAGGGCAAATCAAGTGCACTTATTGGCCCACCGCTGGCCAATCAGATATCTCAGATCACTGTGTCTGCACAGTTTTCTTCGCGCCATAGACTGTAAAAAGAAGCCTCGAACGCACAGCAAAGTTGCTACAGTGAGATTTCAAAAACGTTTAAAACGATGACTAGAGAGAGACTCAACGAATACAGCAAAGAGCTGCTGTTTTCATGAGTAAGTTCATGTTTAAGTTGTTACTCAGCACTGTCAACACTTTGCTCATTTTATGGCTTATAAAAGTGTTGAGCATTCTCCCTACTTCCACTCACGCTACAACCAGCACTGCAACTGCAATGAATGAGTATAGCAAAGTGTTCCGATAAGCTTGCGTTGTTATTATTAGCGGCCTGTGTTTTTTTAATATCAATTAATATTTCACTTTCTCTGGTCATAAGAGTAACAACAAATTGGTGCATGAGGCAGAAATAATGCAATGCGACTTAAGTTTCGCCATCAGCTGGAAGACTGTGTCCCCTTTTCTCAGCGGAGTGAGGGAGAGCGGAGGCACCGTGAGTCGGGTGAGAGGCAGCCTCACCGCTGCTCCATCCTCTCAGACTGACCGTCAGATGCAGGCCAGTAAAAAAAGATAATTTCAAAATGGTCTGAGAAGAACAACATTGGCAGGACAAGTCAAGCATAAGCAGTGATAATGTATTGAGCCTATAGCCTACTGCACAAACCTCATTGCTACAGAACTGTTTATAATTGGTTAATGTTGCATAGGCTTATGTTTTTAAGTCATGTTTTAAAAATAAAATCTGAGCAGTACATCTCTGCTTGCATTTTGACTCAGTGACCTTAACTCAGAAAAGGTTGGTGACCACTGATTTAGCACATTTTAGACGGTTAACTTAATAGTTATAAGATATCTAGCTGGCAAACATTTAGTTGTAAATTCCATACATACTGTAACTAGATCACCTGGTTCGTGCTGCACAATAGTGAATAACTCACAAGGCTCCGGTCTCTGGTCGTTGTGCTTGTAAACAAACAACACATGACTGGGAACTACCAGTAAGCTTCATAATGAAACATTCTGTGACATTATGTGAAATGAAAAATGCGATCTTCTTTAGCTCCTAACGTATTGCACCATTTGACTGCAAATACCCCGGTATATACGGTATACCGCCCAAGCCTACCCTCTCCTCTTATGTCTCCCTTCTCCTACTCCCTCCTCTCCTGTCTCCCTTCTCCCTTCTCCTACTCCCTCCTCTCCTGTCTCTCTCTTGCCTCCCCTCTCCTCCCCCTCCTCTTCTTCCTCCCCTGTCTCCCCTCCCCTCCTCTCCTGTCTCTCTCCTGTCTCCCCTCCCATCCTGTCTCTCTCCTGTCTCTCTCCTGTCTCCCCTCCCCTCCTCTCCTGTCTCTCTCCTCCCCCCTCTCTCTGAAACAGGAGCCTGTCTCTCCGCTACACTAACCACTAGTCACTGTCAGCAGCGGCCCCAGCCCAGCCTTATATATCCTTGGCCTATATTCTGAGTGCCATATGGGACACTCGCTAATTTGAGTAGGGCAATACATCATAGCCCATATTTCAGTCATGTCCCAGAGTTATGGATGCCACTTGTATTAGATGACACTAGGGTTAAATGGCCTTTTAAAGTAGCACTTGACAGCAGCCATTCGGGTCGGTCTATATTGGTTTTTACTGTATCCATATTGTATTTTGACTCTATCATATTGTATTTTTACTGGTGCCGTATTATATTTTTACTGTAGCCGTATTGTCACTGTAGCCATATTGTATTTTTACTGTATCGTGTTTATCTGTTCTCTGGCATATGTCCAACCTGACGTTCAGACCCCTAGAGTGTATTGACGCATCGTTGCGTCAATCGAAGTAAAACAATTTTTAAAAATCCCCCATCAAAATCTGTCAGTTTAAGCAAGAGATATTTGCATGTGCTGTGTCTCAATCCACCGCATCCTGTCGCCCTTCCGCATTTGTGGTGGAAAGTGGCAGAGCTACAGCGCTGTTTGTCAGACCAGGAGACATCCTGTAAATCTGTCTTCTCAAGAAAATGTCTGTAGCATCCGAACGGTTTGGCCTATAAACTAATATCACCACTCTATAGAAATGGGAGACTCTCACGAACACGATGGTGTCACGGGTCTCGTCTAAAGGTAACCCATACAAATGAATGGAAGTATGGAGGTAGTTTTGTGCCAACAAAAATAAAAAAATTAAGAATTTATATATAGTCCAGCCACAGTGGGGGGTGTGATGTTTAGGATAACACTTTATGTTTATGAATAAGCCATTATAAATGTTCATAAATGCTTCATTAATTAAGGTGTGGGGAGTTGGAGAGGACCGTGGGCTGTACTTCAGGAAGGGTGTCACCCCATCGGAGCCCAGTGGGAGGGGCTGGATACCTGTTTCTGCCAAATGGGGTCATAGCAAAGAGATGGTCCAACCCAGGTCAGTTACATGTGGAGTACACAGAGAGAATACTCAATTTCCAGTGTTTTTGCATTGTATTAGATAGTTGTATAGTGTATTGATTGCATGTATTTTGTATGGTGACATCACAAAATGTATTTCCATGTAAATGGGCATATCGTATTGTAAATACCTGGACACTCCTTCAATTTCATAAACAGACATGCATTTCAATGCAATATACAATGGTGGTGGTTAGACCAGCTAGATGGTCCATATTGGGTGGACCAGAATGTTTGGGTGGTGATTAGGTGTCTATGTGATATGTTTAGTAAGTGGTCAGATTCTCATCCAACCAACATTCAGTGTGTATATCAGGGATCATCAACTGAATTTTTATATTTTTAATATTTAATAATTTTTTTGAGCGGATGGTCGGGGGGCTGGAACATAATTACAAATCATTTGTAGACGGCAAATTGACCGCAAGAAGCTCAAACCGATATAATGTTTGACTAAAGCATAATAATTTCAAACCTTGCTTACATTTCTATATGATCACGTTTCTCTCTATTATGCGAGGGAATACTTAGGAACCGATTTCTTCAATTAAAATCCCTTGGAGTTGATTTCCTGGTATTTTGTCTCTGTCAAACAAAAAATTAAATAATAATAATATTTATTCTCAGAACTTGGGGAGCCAAATAAAACCACCCGCAGGCCGCCAGTTGGGGAACGCTGGTGTATATGTTCCTAGGACTACATTTAGGCTTAACAATTACTGTATAGAAGATAGAGATGCAGTTTTATTTTGATAGTTGTCTGTCATGTTACCAACTGATTTACTGAACTCTTTGGCTGTCACAAACATACTGTATGTGTGTCTTTAAGTGGCATATTTATACACATAATATGAGTGTCCTTATGTAGTTTTTCCTCTGCTTTGTCTCGGTTGTCCAGTGCTGGCTATGAGTTCGGGGGACAGGTGACCAAGGCTTCCCAGGGCTCTGTTCTGACCTGCGAGGACTCAGGGGACACAGAGCCCCTCCTCACCGCCACCCCAGGGCCACGGGACACCCCCAAACCCTTCATCCCCACCAGCGAAAGCTTTATCTCCAGCCTGGTGGCTGACCGCGAGCCCCTGAGAACCCCCACACCCACACCCAAAAAGCCACCCCAGGGGAAGGACGGCGAGGTCACCCCAGCCCCCATGTGCAATGTGGACCTGGAGGCAGCTCAGAGCCCCCAGGGAGAGGCATCTTCTCTAGGCAGGGCAGGGGATGTGGGACCCTCCACCTCGGTGGCCACCTACCCCCTGGGTCTGGAGCCCTCTCTGGGTTTGGGGGAGGAGGACGGGCCAGTATGGGCCTGGATCTCTGGCGGAGGCTGCGATGTGGACCATACAGCTCAGATGAGCTGGCTCAGCCCTGCAGGTACGGAGGAACACTCACCAGCCTCACCATTTTCAGACTACTACCTAAGGCATGTAGTGCACAGAGTCTCACTGCTGATAGGTACTTATCACAGTGGGAGGCCGTTCCTTCTCTTGCTAGAACAAAAGCTGTACCTGCTGCATGCTGACCTGGTAGTGACGAACCTACCAATTCTACCTGTAGAATCGCAATGCTCGTCAGTGGCCAACAACTTGGCTTTGAGCCAATCAGAGAGCACGAACCCCCACGTGGGGGAGCCAACAACAAAAAAATTAAAAAATAAGGCATTTTCTCTGTACATCCATGGATGAGCCGCTAGCTGACTAGTGGTGGCTATTCAGCGTGATAAATGTCTAAAACCGGCAATGTTTTGTAGGAGCTTGTTTCTTCATCATCTTGCTAGGTAGTTATCTAGCTGTGGCCTTATCTAGCTGTGGCCATCTGGCTAGTATCATCGAGGGCGTTCTACAAAATAGCAACATTAGGGCAGATGGCTTGGAATGTAGACCATAAACAATACACACAGATATGCATTGCCAAACAATGCTACTGCCACCCCCTGGTTAGGAGTATTTTAACAAGGCTGAGTGGCTGGCGACTTCCAAGGTCTGCTGTGTGAACACTAAAAGAGTTTGACTGCCGACACTGTTCAGAGGCAAACGTTTAACAATGCTACCGGTGTGTCTGAGCTTTAACTTTACTGAACTAATTAAACAGGCTATTTCTAGTACCTGGAGTTTTTCCTGGTGGGGTCACACGGTTAGGGAAAAATCATTGTCCTGATATCTCTATCAAACTCTTTTATAATTTGTATATGCTGTCTGTTATCTAACTGTGTGTGCACCAGACCCATGCTCCACTGCCCTGTCCATCGCCCCTGTTGAACCAGAAGCCTCCACGGCTAGGAAGGCAGAGAACACCTCCACCAGCAAGGAGCCAGTGGAGAGGAGCGCGGTAAGATTAACACACACAATACAAGCTAGTTTCACTTTCTCAGGTTTAGTCTTGTGACAGACTCTTAATAGTTTAACGTCACTGATTATTTTTATGAATCATGATTTTGCTGAGGGGGTGCTAGAAGTAGGGATCGTGATTTTAAATGGAGAGTTGTCTAATAGACACTGTGTACGGGTCAGTCTGTGTGGGTGAGGAAGGGCAGCATGCGCTGGTGGAGGGACTGGAAGCCCTATCGCTGGGTGGATGTGGGCGTGGCCCTGGAGCAATCCACCAACGGCAACGGCAAGAGGGATGCCATCTTCTTCATCTACTTCACCCAGTATGATGAGAAGAAGGTGAGGGAGACTCAATCACACTCAAATTCCTTAAACTTCCATCCTTCCTTCCTTCCTTCCTTTCTTCCTTGAAGTAATCACTGATTAGAAATCATTTACCTGTCCAATCAGGAATTTGAACGGGCCAATGTCTTTCTCACGTACAGAATCGAATGAGTAGACACCTACTACTCATAATGTACCGCTATGCTACTGTACTGCTTTGAATTGTTCAATCATCTACATTTCTAGATTGGTTGTCACATCTCCCTCTCGCCCTCTGTTTCTCTATCTTTCTCAGTACCTCCATGTGTTTATAAGTGACGTGACGGTGCTGGTTCCTGTGCTCAGGGAAAACTCCCATCATGCCTTTGCGGTGTACACGTCAGATAGTACGAAACAAAGATGGCCGCTGGTCCTGGCTGCACAAACCGAGAAGGACATGGCTGACTGGGTAGGTCTGGGTTGGCCTCCATTCAGATAGAAACAGCATATCTAATGTTTTGAATAGAGAATGGATAGATATTGTAATGCCCATTTTTGGGGGGGACCTACATTTTAAAAATCCAAATTCGGCACAGGTTACAACAGCCCTCAAGTTAACTTCCCAATTAAAGTAGCCTTGCCAGAGATAAGAGTTTAGGGATTTGTCCCAAATGGCACCCTATGTGCCCTGGTCAGAAGTATTGCACTACAGTTGAAGTCGGAAGTTTACATACACTTAGGTTGGAGTCATTAAAACTCATTTTTCAACCACTCCACACATTTCTTGTTAACAAACTACTTTGTGCATGACACAAGTAATTTTTCCAACAATTGTTTCCAGACAGATTATTTCACTTATAATTCACTGTATCACAATTCCAGTGGGTTAGAAGTTTACATACACTAAGTTGACTGTGACTTTAAACAGCTTGGAAAATTCCAGAAAATGATGTCATGGCTTTAGAAGCTTCTGATAGACTAATTGTTATCATTTGAGTCAGTTGGAGGTGTACCTGTGGGTGTATTTCAAGGCCTACCTTCAAACTCAGTGCCTCTTTGCTTGACATCATGGGAAAATCAAAAGAAACCAGCCAAGACCTCAAAAAAATAATTGTAGACCTCCACAAGTCTGGTCTATCCTTGGGAGCAATTTCCAAATGCCTGAAGGTACCACGTTCATCTGTACAAACAATAGTACGCAAGTATAAACACCATGGGACCACGCAGCCGTCATACCGCTCAGGAAGGAGACGCGTTCTGTCTCCTAGAGATGAACGTACTTTGGTGCGAAAAGTGTAAATAAATCCCAGAACAACAGCAAAGGACCTTGTGAAGATGCTGGAGGAAACAGGTACAAAAGTGTCTATATCCACAGACACGAGTCCTATATCGACATAACCTGAAAGGCCGCTCAGCAAGGAAGAAGCCACTGCTCCAAAACCGCCATAGAAAAGCCAGACTACAGTTTGCAACTGAACATGGGGACAAAGATCGTTTCTTTTGGAGAAATATCCTGTGGTCTGATTAAACAAAAATAGAACTGTTTGGCCATAATGACCATCGTTATGTTTTGGAGGAAAAAGGGGTGCTTGCAAACCGAAGAACACATTTACATTTACATTTTAGTCATTTAGCAGACGCTCTTATCCAGAGCGACTTACAGTTAGTGCATACATTATTTTATCGAACCCACAACCCTGGCGTTGCAAACGCCATGCTCTACCAACTGAGCTACATCCCCTGCCGGCCAAATCCCTCCCCTACCCTGGACGACGCTGGGCCAATTGTGCGCGCCGCCCCACCATCCCAACCGTGAAGCACGGGGGTGGCAGCATCATGCTGTGGGGGTGCTTTGCTGCAGGAGGGACTGGTGCACTTCACAAAATAGATGGCATCATGGGGAAGGAAAATGATGTGGATATATTGAAGCAACATCTCAAGACATCAGTCAGGAAGTTAATGCTTGGTCGCAAATGGGTCTTCCAAATGGACAATGACCCCAAGCATACTTCCAAAGTTGTGGCAAAATGGCTTAAGGACAACAAAGTCAAGGTATTGGAGTGGCCATCACAAAGCCCTGACCTCAATCCTATAGAACATTTGTGGGCAGAACTGAAAAAGCGTGTGCGAGCAAGGAGGCCTACAAACCTGACTCGGTTACACCAGCTCTGTCAGGAGGAATGGGCCAAAATTCACCCAACTTATTGTGGGAAGCTTGTGGAAGGCCACCCGAAACGTTTGACCCAAGTTAAACAATTTAAAGGCAATGCTACCAAATACTAATTGAGTGTATGTAAACTTCTGACCCACTGGGAATGTGATTAAAAAATAAAAGCTGAAATAAATCATTCTCTACTATTATTCTGACATTTCACATTCTTAAAATAAGGTGGTGATCCTAACTGAACTAAGACAGGGAATTTATACTAGGATTAAATGTCAGGAATTGTGACAAACTGAGTTTAAATGTATTTGGCTAAGGTGTATGTAAACTTCCGACTTCAACTGTACATAGGGAATAGGGTGCCATGTGGGGCGCTGCCACAGTACTTATCATAAGAGAGGATACCAGATACTCTCTAGAAAGTTTATATGTTTCAATGTTGTCCAATTGCTGTGTAAAGCCTTCATACCTAAAACCACTGAGTAAATGTAGTCCAGTATTATTACTGTTATCCATCCGGACTGTACCATTGGCCATATCGCTGAAGGGGTGTCTGTGTTTCCTATGCAGCTGTCCCTGTTGGCTGGGTGCTGCTGTGAGGCCAGAGGGATCAGCGGAACCCCCTCCCGACAAGCCCTGTGGTCAGTCACCTCCAAGGGGGACGTGATGGTACATGAGCCCTCTCCCTTTCTGGAGGCCCCGGCACACACCTTGCCCTGTGACATGATGTGAGCTTTACCTTTACCAACATACCACACATTGAGCTTGACCTTTTACCAACATACCACACATTGAGCATTACCAACATACCACATATTGAGCTTGACCTTTTACCAACATAACACACATTGAGCTTTACCAACATACCACACATTGAGCTTTACGTTTACCAACATACCACACATTGAGCTTTACCAACATATCATACATTGAGCTTTACCAACATACCACACATTGAGCTTTACCTTTACCAACATACAGTGGGGGAAAAAAGTATTTAGTCAGCCACCAATTGTGCAAGTTCTCCCACTTAAAAAGATGAGAGAGGCCTGTAATTTTCATCATAGGTACACGTCAACTATGACAGACAAAATGAGAAAAAAAATCCAGAAAATCACATTGTAGGATTTTTTATGAATTTATTTGCTAATTATGGTGGAAAATAAGTCACCATTTCTCAATACTTTGTTATATACCCTTTGTTGGCAATGACACAGGTCAAACGTTTTCTGTAAGTCTTCACAAGGTTTTCACACACTGTTGCTGTTATTTTGGCCCATTCCTCCATGCAGATCTCCTCTAGAGCAGTGATGTTTTGGGGCTGTCGCTGGGCAACACGGACTTTCAACTCCCTCCAAAGATTTTCTATGGGGTTGAGATCTGGAGACTGGCTAGGCCACTCCAGGACCTTGAAATGCTTCTTACGAAGCCACTCCTTCGTTGCCCGGGCGGTGTGTTTGGGATCATTGTCATGCTGAAAGACCCAGCCACGTTTCATCTTCAATGCCCTTGCTGATGGAAGGAGGTTTTCACTCAAAATCTCACGATACATGGCCCCATTCATTCTTTCCTTTACACGGATCAGTCGTCCTGGTCCCTTTGCAGAAAAACAGCCCCAAAGCATGATGTTTCCACCCCCATGCTTCACAGTAGGTATGGTGTTCTTTGGATGCATCTCAGCATTCTTTATCCTCCAAACACGACGAGTTGAGTTTTTACCAAAAAGTTCTATTTTGGTTTCATCTGACCATATGACATTCTCCCAATCCTCTTCTGGATCATCCAAATGCACTCTAGCAAACTTCAGACGGGCCTGGACATGTACTGGCTTAAGCAGGGGGACACGTCTGGCACTGCAGGATTTGAGTCCCTGGTGGCGTAGTGTGTTACTGATGGTAGGCTTTGTTACTTTTGTCCCAGCTCTCTGCAGGTCATTCACTAGGTCCCCCCGTGTGGTTCTGGGATTTTTGCTCACCGTTCTTGTGATCATTTTGACCCCACGGGGTGAGATCTTGCGTGGAGCCCCAGATCGAGGGAGATTATCAGTGGTCTTGTATGTCTTCCATTTCCTAATAATTGCTCCCACAGTTGATTTCTTCAAACCAAGCTGCTTACCTATTGCAGATTCAGTCTTCCCAGCCTGGTGCAGGTCTACAATTTTGTTTCTGGTGTCCTTTGACAGCTCTTTGGTCTTGGCCATAGTGGAGTTTGGAGTGTGACTGTTTGAGGTTGTGGACAGGTGTCTTTTATACTGATAACAAGTTCAAACAGGTGCCATTAATACAGGTAACGAGTGGAGGACAGAGGAGCCTCTTAAAGAAGAAGTTACAGGTCTGTGAGAGCCAGAAATCTTGCTTGTTTGTAGGTGACCAAATACTTATTTTCCACCATAATTTGCAAATAAATTCATAAAAAATCCTACAATGTGATTTTCTGGAGAAAAAAAATCTCAATTTGTCTGTCATAGTTGACGTGTACCTATGATGAAAATTACAGGCCTCTCATCTTTTTAAGTGGGAGAACTTGCACAATTGGTGGCTGACTAAGTACTTTTTTTTCCCCACTGTATCACACATTGAGCTTTACCTTTACCAACATATCACATATTGAGCTTTACCATTACCAACATACCACACATTGAGCTTTACCAACATACCACACATTGAGCTTTACCAACATACCACACATTGAGCTTTACCAACATACCACACATTGAGCTTTACCAACATACCACACATTGAGCTTTACCAGCATACCATACATTGAGCTTTAGCTTTACCAACATACCACACATTGAGCTTTACCAACATACCATACATTGAGCTTTAGCTTTACCAACATACCACACATTGAGCTTCATCAACATACCACACATTGAGCTTTACCAGCATACCATACATTGAGCTTTAGCTTTACCAACATACCACACATTGAGCTTTACCTTTACCAACATACCACACATTGAGCTTTACCAACATACCACACATTGAGCTTTACCAACATACCATACATTGAGCTTTAGCTTTACCAGCATACCACACATTGAGCTTTACCTTTACCAACATACCATACATTGAGCTTTACCTTTACCAACATACCACACATTGAGCTTTGCCAACATACCACACATTGAGCTTTACCAACATACCACACATTGAGCTTTGCCAGCATACCATACATTGACCTTTAGCTTTACCAACATACCATACATTGAGCTTTACCTTTACCAACATACCACACATTGAGCTTTACCAACATACCACACATTGAGCTTTACCTTTACCAACATATCACACATTGAGCTTTACCTTTACCAACATACCACACATTGAGCTTTACCTTTACCAACATATCATACATTGAGCTTTACCCTTACCAACATACCACACATTGAGCTTTACCTTTACCAACATATCATACATTGAGCTTTACCTTTACCAACATATCATACATTGAGCTTTAGCTTTACCAACATACCACACATTGAGCTTTACCTTTACCAACATACCACACATTGAGCTTTACCAACATACCACACATTGAGCTTTACCTTTACCAACATACCACACATTGAGCTTTCCCAACATATCACGCACTGTTATTACACACTGTAGCATGTTCCTTCACTGCCTTGAAGCCAACCAACCATGTACCCTTGTTCTTTTCTCTGTTCTTGCACTCATATAGCTAACATGCTAACACTTGGGATGTCCACTGTTGTTTGGCTAACATAACTCAGCTGACTTCAATCTATTAGCTACTACTAACCTGCTAAAACAATGATCGTCTTATCTCTGGTAATCTTAAGCATAGTGCTAACGTCTGTCTTACTGTTGGCAATTGGTGCTAGTGCCTCTCTGCTTCTTTTGCTGGATGCTAACCACAGGTGGTTGGTGGCACCTTAATTGAGGATGACGGCCTCATACTAATGGCTGGAACGGAATAAGTGGAATGTTATCAAGCACATGGTTTCCATGTGTTTAACACCACTACATTCCAGACATTATTATAAACCGTCCTCCCCTCGCCAGCCTCCTGTGATGCTAACGCTGTCTGGGCGCTAACCACTAGATCCGCTAACCGCTAGCTGTACTGTCTGGTCCTGGTGCAGGTTTTGGCTGCAGGTCCCGGGCCACCTGCGCTGTGTAGAGTCTAACAGTCTGAGTGTGGTGTGGGGGATCGGGTGTGACGGCACCGCCTGGGTCTACTCTGGCTCGGGCAGCGCTGCTGGGGAAGAGCCCCCTCAGGGTAATAAATGACCCCACAACTCAGTCTTCCAGGCCACCACAGTCCTGGGTTGTGTTCATTAGGCACAAAACAGACAAAAATGGACTACCTGGACTTGTCCAATAAGAAACACTCATTTTCATTTTCCATTGCAAAAAAAACATTTTGCCCTAATGAACACACCTGTGATGGTTTTCAATCATTTCTTCCATGTAGCTGATTAAGTCATTGATTGACCTTAATTAAAGATGAAAACCAGCAAGCACTGTGACTGCGGTTCTTGAGGACTCAAGTTGTTCACACCTGCCTTACACCGTGCCTTTACTAGTCCACCCTGTAAGCTTCTTTAATCTTTTTACACTTTAAGCTTCTTTAACTTCAACCTAGGTTGAAGGTAAAGGAGGTTACGACAAGTTTTGATTCCATGTGGAAGCTTTTAGAAAATAAACAGATTCATGGGACCAGTGCCGTTGCTAACTAGCATAGCTGGTCCCATTGTTGCAAAGAGTTATGGGATATTAGAATCCTCTTGTTTTGACCTTTTGTCATTTTCAACCTAGCCTTCAACCTGCTTATACAGTCAATATGGTTAAAGGAATAGTTCACCCAAATTACAAAGTGTTGTAGCCAAGTATAAAGTAACAATTCAAAGTACTGTATTAGTGAACCTTCCAGCTAGAGAACTAGAAAAGTGAATGGCCTTATTACTTATTAATAACTTACTGCTTGGCTAACTGGGTGGGTGATTGCCTGAGCAATTCCCTAATATAGTGCAATACTTTTGACCAGGGCTTTGGTCAAAAGTAGTGCACTATAAAGGGAAGAGGGTGCCATTTGGGATGCAACCATAGACTTTGCATGGCCCTGCTACACCATCAGACTTATTATAGCAGAGTTGTGACTTTTCTCTGTTTGTAGGAGACACGGGTAGCCTGCACACACAGACAGATGTAAGGACTGTGTACATCTATGAGAACCAGCGATGGAACCCCATGACCGGATACACAGACAAGTACTACATCTCTCTCACGCGACTGTGTGTGTGCATTGCAATAATATGTTCTAGACACTTCCGACAGCTCCCCTATAGGTCAGTGTGTGTAATATCCACTTTGCCACCCTTCCAGGCTTCTCCCCACAGACCGGTTCCCGTGGAGTGATGACAACGGCTTTACAGAGTGCACCAAGTCCACCACCCACCCACCCTCGCCTCAGTGGAGCTGGGTAGGTAGACCTAGTCCCTAAACCTCCTACACCCTAAAACCTCTTAGTCCAATGTTCAATTTTTTTCTAACTGTATCTTGAGTTGTTAATGTTGTACTTGTACTCCCCCTCCCCTCAACATGAAACATGCCTCTGTTATGCCAGGTGACAGAGTGGGCAGTCGACTTCGCTTTCTCAGGAGGGACAGACAAAGAAGGATGGCAGTATGCAGCAGACTTCCCTGTGTAAGAAATACAAATGTCCATTCATGTTTTATCAACCCTATATCATGGCTTACACTTATCTTAGAAGAAGTCTTGTGTTGATTGACTGTGTTCTGTGTCTCCGTCATGTAGGACGTTTCATGGCAACAAGAGCCTGAAGGACTTTGTCAGACGTAGGCGCTGGTTCAGGTATAGTCTCTTTCACTCACTCACACTCAAACATTTCAGTAGGAAGAGTATGATGATAATGTTTCTCGTTTCCACACAGGAAGTGTAAAATCACCCTGACTGCCCCGTGGCAGGAAGTCCCGCCCATCCCCCTGAGTGACATCACAGTGTTGCCGTGCCTGGCTCAGAGCAGTATGGAGCAGGTCCCAGTCTGGGGCCTCAGTGACAAGGGGGACGTCCTGTGTCGCCTGGGGGTCACCCCCCAAAACCCTGCGGTGAGGAACACCCCCAAACCCTACAACCTGGGACTTTAACCAAAGACACTCATTACTACCATCACAGAATAACATCCTCTTTGATTAAACTATGATCAAACAACATGCTCACTCCAATGTTATTCTTCTATATAACAGAGTTCAGCACCCCCTTTTCGTCAGACTTTTTTTACAATCAATTCTGACCAAACCTCAGTATCCAGCTTTCTTCCGTTCCCAAGTGAATATGTTACGAGTCTAGGACGTACACATTGGCATTAATATGGAGTTGGTCCCCCTTTGCTGCTATAACAGCCTCCACTCTTCTGGGAAGGCTTTCCACTAGATGTTGAAACATTGCTGCGGGGACTTGCTTCCATTCAGCCACAAGAGCATTAGTGAGGTCGGCACTGATTTTGGGTGGTTAGGCCTGGCTCGCAGTCGGCGTTCCAATTCATCCCAAAGGTGTTCGATGGGGTTGAGGTCAGGGCTCTGTACAGGCCAGTCACGTTCTTCCACACCAATCTCGACAAACCATTTCTGTATGGAACTCGCTTTGTGCATGGGGGCATTGTCATGCTGAAACAGGAAAGGGCCTTCCCCAAACTGTTGCCACAAAGTTGGAAGCACATAATTGTCTAGCATTTAATTGTATGCTGTAGCGTTAAGATTTCCCTTCACTGGAACTAAGGGGCCTAGCCCGAACCATGAAAAACAGCCCAGACCATTATTTCTCCTCCACCAAACTTTACAGTTGGCACTATGCATTTGGGCAGGTTCTCCTGGCATCCGCCAAACCCAGATTCGTCCATCAGACTGCCAGATGGTAAAGCGGGATTTATCACTCCAGAGAACGTGTTTCCACTGCTCCAGAGTCCAATGGCTGCGAGCTTTATACCACTCCAGCCGACGCTTGGCATTGCGCATGGTGATCTTAGGCTTGTGTGTGGTTGCTCGGCCATGGAAACCCATTTCATGAAGCTCCAGGTGAACTGTTCTTGTGCTGAGGTTGCTTCCAGAGGCAGTTTGGAACTCGGTAGAGGGTGTTGCAACAGACGATTTGTACGCGCTTCAGCACTCGGGGGTCCCGTTCTGTGAGCTTGTGTGGCCTACCACTTCACGGCTGAGCCATTGTTGCTCATAGATGTTTCCACTTCACAATAACAGCATTTACAGTTGACCGGGGCAGCTCTAGCAGGGCAGAAATTTGACGAACTGACTTGTTGGAAAGGTGGCATCCTATGACGGTGCCACGTTGAAAGTCACTGAGCTCTTCAGTACGGGCCATTCTACTGTCTGTTTGTCTATGGAGATTGGATGGCTGTGTGATTTTATACACCTGTTGCAACAGGTGTGGCTGAAATAGCTGAATCCACTAATTTAAAGGGATGTCCACATACTTTTAGCCATGTAGTGTATGACAATGAAAAAATTAATAATTCTGACCGTAATACATTAAAAAAAAAATATATATATACATAGCTAATACCGTAAGTATGTAATATGTTGTATTACATTCTATGGTGCTGTGCTGTTGATTGTTCATGCCATCTCTGACTATACCACCTCAGGGTTCCTCGTGGCTCCACGTGGGTACTGACCAGCCCTTCAAGTCCATCTCCATCGGGGGTGGTCACCAGGTGTGGGCCATCGCCAGGGACAGAGCCGTGTTCTACAGGGGCTCAGTGTCCGCCAGCAACCCTGCAGGTGAGACCCAACCCTGGGGAGGAACCAAACAAACATCTGGGTCCTTCTGAGATGCTGGATATATATGGATGGCCTACAGTGCTCTATGACTGAAATACACAACTACTAATACATTTCTTTTTGAAAGAACATAATGGCCCGTTTCCTAGACACAGATCACTGTAAGACTAGTACTGAACTAAAAATAACCCTCATTGGAGATTTTCAATTGAAAGCACGTTTTAGTCCAGGACTAGGCTTAATCTGTGTATTTCCTGGCCCATACTGAACCTTAGTCAACTTGTTTTTTTTGTTCTTTGTCATCATCCTGCAGGAGAGTGTTGGTACCACATCCCCTCCCCGCCCAGACAGAGCCTCAGACAGCTGTCTGTAGGGAGAACCTCTGTCTACGCTGTGGACGAAAACAGTGAGTACCCACTACTATCCACAACCTGTGGGTCAGCTCTTTCGATGCTTGCTTTGCAGGAGAGCTCTCTGATAAGTCAATGAAGGAATGTATTTAATTGACAGGGACAGTGCACATTAATCAACATTTGTCCACATCAATGTAAATGTGCCGGGGTAAGGAAAACACTCATTTCCATCTGCACTTTCAGACGTAGTCCCTAGATGGATGAATCGACAAGCAAGATCAATGTTTCCTAACTAATGGAATAGTTAGGAAAGTCTCTCCTGACTGCTGTTCTCCCCTGCTGTGTGTGTAGGTAACCTGTGGTACAGACAGGGCCTGACTCCCAGCTACCCCCAGGGCTCAGCCTGGGAGCTCATCTCCAACAACGTGACTAAAGTCTCAGTAGGACCTCTAGACCAGGTTAGTACAACGCTCCCATAAAGTGAAATCATTCTTATATTTAAAAAGTGCTGTTTTTTTTCAAGCTCATTTTACAGTGGTGAGTAAGTTATTAGTGACTTGTTTTCTACTTCCAACACCTGGTCATGTGGTGTTGTTTTGTCCAGGTGTGGGTGATAGCAGACTGGGTCCCAGGCTGCCCCAGTGAGCTGTCTGTCCATGGAGCTGTCTGTCACAGGCTGGGGGTGGGACCCATGCAGCCCAAGGGCCAATCCTGGGACTACGGCATCGGGGTGAGTCATTACCAACTGGGTGTTGATGTCCGCTCCAAAGACATTGGCCGTGTCCAAAATGTCACCCTATTCAAATCCCTACTTTTGACCAGAGGCCTATGGGCCCTGGTCACAAATGGTGCACTACAAAGGGAATAAGGTGCCATTTGGGATGCAGACATTGTACAGTATCTGAAATACCTCTGTTGTTGTGAAGATGGTTATGGAAGAGATGTCATGTTAATGTAAGGATCTCTGTCTTTCAGGGAGGATGGGAACACATCAGTGTGAGAGGGAACTCCACAGAGGTTCTGCGTGCCCCCCACCCTGCCACCCCGGCCCTTACTGGCACCACCCCCCGTAGCCCACTCCCTGCCAGGCCGGCCCTTACTGACACCACCCCCCATAGCCCACTCCCTGCCAGGCCGGCCCTTACTGACACCACCCCCCGTAGCCCACTCCCTGCCAGGCCGGCCCTTACTGACACCACCCCCCATAGCCCACTCCCTGCCAGGCCGGCCCTTACTGACACCACCCCCTGTAGCCCACTCCCTGCCAGGCCGGCCCTTACTGACACCACCCCCCATAGCCCACTCCCTGCCAGGATACCTTTGTCACAGGAGAACGGGAACGCTGTGGGTCTGTAGGGCCCCTACTAACCCGCCCCGTTCCTCCATCTCTACTCACAGCCCTGTGTGTGCCTGGTTCCATTTCCAACCCTGGTTGCAAATTTTTGCTCCAACCCAGCACAAACATGGTAACGTTGGTCTAAATGGAAAGACCATGATTTAGTTGGATATTTAAATCAGTTAGTGCTAGGCTGAAACATGTGCTACCAATGCAAGTTGGCCACCTTTGACCGAGACCATCCCTTCAGTGTTCATATGTCTGAAAGCAGTAGACGTATTAGAGCTTCTGTCAGTTTTCATCCAGTCCATTAAGGTCTGTGAACATTAGTGGCAGGTGCTAGGAGAAGTTGCTAGGGTGAGAAATGGAACCGAGTCCTCGGCATGCCTGTGTCCCATACCAGGGTTCTGTACCAACCAACACACTGACTGCCTACTCCACTCCCTTGGACCTCACAGTATAGTCTTGCTTTGTATGATTTTGTTTTGTTGACGTTGTTTTTGCTTTCTCATTTGCCTAGTTGACAAACAGTACTTTTTCATCAAGGTCTGTGTGCTTTGGAATTATTTATTTTATAGCTTTTTGGCTGTCATCTTGGTTTATTTATGTTTTGGCCTGCATGATGTTTGGAATGTAGTGGTTGAAGTAGCTTTTTTTTCTTCAGAACAAAAAATATCAATTCTAGCAATAGCTCTGAGCTTCCATGACAACAAGGATTATTTTAAGAACATCACTGTCAATTTACCACCAGTTCTTTCCTAAGATGGTAAAAACATCAAGGGTAGTAAATAATACAGAATGAATAGCATCTATTTGCTGTGTTAGGGATTGTTAACATCCAGAATGTTATGAATAGGAGTGCTTCCTGTTCAGGTCACATGATCAGCAGAAACTCCAGGCTCTAGTTTTGACTTATCCCTGGTGGATTCGTTTTCAGTGTTTGTTACTTCAGTATTCCATGCAGATACGGAGACGGTATTCAAACAAACAGCACTGTACCTACATCACACTACACTTCACTTTAAAGGCAATTTCCTGGATGTTTGGTGATGTCAGCTCAAGTGTAAACTACCTTAAAGTGCTGCGTAATGTCTGCGCACTGCTGTTTTTGTTTGAATTCCTGTCTGAGTTTGCTGTGGCCTTGACTGTTGAAGCTGTGAATACAGCAGGTTTGAATGTTATGGATGTTCTCTTACAAGGACAGACAACTGTGAAATAAATTTCAAAACAGCTCTGCAACCTTGGGTGTTCTCTTTGTATGGGCCTTGAGTTTCAATGTGTTATCACTTGGGAGTTAAAGGATCACTTTAGTGTAGTGAAATTCATGTTTGTACAGGTGTGAGATGGAGTTGGTGTTAACTTTTAATAATGCATGTTATGTAAAGAACTTAGTTACACCACTTAACATTTTGTTATACCAAAATAGGTTGGCTGGTTGAGTAAGTAACACATGGGCTACTAGGTGTTGAGCACAATCAGACAAGCTATTGAAGGAAATTTGCATTTATTTCCATATTAAACAGTGTAATTATAAACATTTCATTCAAATACACTAAGCATGATCATCATCAATATGAAGTAAAAATATTACAATTTGTAAAATTTAAAGGACAGAATGGATTTTCCTATCTGTTTGTCTTTAAAGGTGCTACACAATAGGATTTTTTGGCATTTTTACATTGTAATTTCAGGAAATGTCCATAATATCTGGTGCTAATAGTGGAATAGTATTACTTACCTGCCAGTGTTGTCATATTCTCCTATTGATTGGTTCTGACTTTGTGGCTGTAATTTCCTGGTTGCTAAAATTCTACACTTCGCTCAATTTCAGAGTATGTGAGAACAAGCACTGAATAGTGTAGAGAATCATTGTACCATCTAAATCTCTGAAATATTTTCAAAAAATATTTTACAGCTGTTTTTGAAACTGGTGGACCAAAACCAACTTTTGATTTTGGTCCACCAGCTTTAAACAGCTGTAAAAACTAGTTTTGGTTAATGAAAATATATTTCACAGCAATTTAGATGGTACAATGATTCTCTACACTATTCAGTGCTTGTTTTCGAACCGAATAAAATGTTAGCAACCAGGAAATTAGCGATTTCCACTAGATGGTACAGCCACAATCAGAACAGCTTTCCCATTTTGACAACCGATGCCGCTCTGGCGGGAGAAATCAATAGTAGGATATCACAGCCAATCACAACACTAGCGGGGTAGGTAATACTGTGAAACTATCATTCAACTGTTACTGCAGATATGGACATTTTCTGAAATTAAAATGCAAAAAGTTCAACTAATCTTGTGTAGCACCTTTAATTAAACCGTTCGTCATTTTGTTTTTTACCGTGATATGTTGCTCTTTTTAAACGCTGCTTTAAATTACAAAATGAAACCTCAAACCTAGGACTTGATTACATCATTCCCCATGTACAGACAAAATTAAACATTTATATACATCAGTACAGTTCAACATTAAGTTAGCCTTCTAAAATGTGCAAGATTAAGCAAATGTATATACTGTAGAATAAAACAAATTTCAAGTGTAACTGAAAGAACGCACAGGCTGCTGGTAGTAAAGAGGTTAACCTTGTCTGGAATACTGCAGGTGAGGAGAGAGTTTCTATCCACTACGTATCTGAAGACATGTTCAAATGACGTCACCAATGACGGGAAACCTTGACAAGTCACTAAACCAAGAGCTATATATAATTATCTGTGTTGAACCCATTGAGTCTGGAAGAACTGTTTGAACTACAGGAACAGAAAGACCATGAAAAGCTGGCCTTGCTGCTCCAGCTGAATCATAATATTATGTTTCTATACATCATTGATGGTGGTGATACAGACCCCAACCCTGCTGCACACCAAAACAAATCATACTGGAGACAGTCCGTTGAGTGGCGCATAACAGCCGGGTTGCTATGGCAATGTCCACAATCCTTAAGGTAATCTTTACCTCGGCTGTGTCACATGCAGTAGTTAAGGAGAATAACTCGTGCAGAAAATAAAACTCAGTATGAGTGTAGAATTGGTTTGACATAGTAAACCAAACAAAACAAAGAACAGGCATGTCTGTCTTGGTAGTCAGTCCAATGACAACTAGGGGTTGAGTTACTGTAAGATCCTGCACAGTACCAGAGAAATGATCTGCGTCCCAAATAGCACCCTATTCCCTTTATGGTGCCGTTTGGGACGCTGCCACATCCCAACTGGCTCCTCCTATTAAACTCATACCCCAAAACCTCATCTCATCAAAAGATACTCATTGCACATTTGTTTCACAAAACACCTCGACAATTCGTATTACATTACGATGTTTCACTCCTATGTCTCCTGATGCAAACTCACAGAGTCACTAGGCTTGTGTGTCAGGACAAAATGTATTGACTCCTTAATCATGTGATTCCTCCAGTGAAAGGGGAGAGGATATTTGTGTATACAGTGTAATCAATATGAAATAGGCACTGTGATAAGACCCATTGATTGGTGAAGAAACTGGACAAACCTTGAAGTCACATACTGTTAATTCAAACCATGGCTTGTGACAATGTTACCTTATCCAAACTTCTACTGATGGTGTTCAACTGAATTGAAGTGAACTTCCTTCATATGAATCTGAACTGTAAGGCTTTGTCAGACCTCTCCTGTTCCATAACACTAAGCCATTCTCACCGTAGAACACATTCTTATTCTATGGTTCTCACTAGAACAGATGACTGAGAAAGTGACACCAATTATACAGATGGGATGTGTGGACGGTGAATGAGTCAATCACCAAAACTTGGTTCCTTAAATTCCTAATATACCTCTCCCACTCTTGATCATCTCCTGTTGAAGCATACACACTTCATGAGTAGACCTGGCAATAAATAAATAGTTTCCAAAAGGCAACTCCTGTAATAATCGCACAATGTAGCAAAGGAGCTACTGAACAATGTTACTGAGCAGTGTTGCACCCAAGGGCCTTGGTGTTTTAGTCAGCCTGATGCAAAGAGCTTATTATTCCTATTTGATTGCAGACACAAGATGCCCCAGCAGCCAGTGGGGCTGTGGTTCAATTGTAGTTTGTGGTTCAATCAATGATTTAGGTCTTCAAAATAAAAGTGTATTTTTTGGGTGAAACAGAATCCCCTCAGGAAATGAGGACATTAACCAAACACTTGGAATGCGCTCAACAAGTCTTAAAGCAAACAGAAAAAGTTAGGTCCATTTTGTTGTCTGTTCTTCCTGCTGAATTGCACTGATGGGGACACCACACACTGATGGAGGGGGTAAGAGGGAAAAAGCAGAAGGAGAGAACATGGCTCAGAGACCTGACTGGGCCTCGACTGTTCGTCTGTCATATTTGCTAAGAGGCTTTCAGTGGAAGGAAGGGGATTTTGTTGAGGGGGTTGTTGGCTGTCGGCTCAGTCTGTTTCTAGTTCTCTTCATGGACACCTCTTGGGGGGGAGCAGTTCTGCCTGAGAAGAGAAGCATCCACAGCCTTCATAACACTGTGTCATCCGTCCGTCTGTCTTTAGTCTGTATGTGGAGCTCTCCTTCATTCACCTGACGTCGTGCGAGGCTCTGGGTCCATTCCCCTCAGAGAAGTGGGGGGAAACTGTCCCTTCCACGTGCACCTTAGTCTTTCTCTCCTTCTTCACTGCTTCCTGATGGGGGGCAGAAATACACAAATACAGAGTTAGAGGGTAGATCATAGAGATCCTATTCAATTACTATGTATGGGGGACATCAAGCACATGCGCACGCCTGTCTGTTTTCTGTAGTTTATTTGAGTGTGTTGTGTGTAGGTGTGTTGGTGCACTCCCACTTGCCTCCTTGTTCGGTGTCCGAGTCAGTGAGGTGTGTGAGGGAGAAGCTGGCGATGCTGGCCGGGGAGATGGAGAAGCGGGAGTAGTTGGAGTTAGAGCTACTCCAGCTGGGCTCCGGGGCGCGGCCCCCGGGAGGGGGAGGGGAGAAGTAGTGCGAGGCCGTAGACGAAGGGGACATGGTCTTAGACACGGCCAGGTCCGTAGCTGCCTTGGAGAGGAACGCAGAGGGCTCTGGGGACGAGAAGTCGTCATCCCACTCAAACCCACCGCCTGAGGAGAGAGACACCCGTTTAATACCTTGATTTGGTACAATTAGAGGGTATACGGAACGTTTTTGCCACTGGAGGTGCTCTTTAGCCAAAAGGGGCCCCCCCTAAATTACCAAAATGTATGTAAACAATTAGCAAATGAACTTCCATGGTGTATCTTTGGTACATGGTCAAACTATAAACATCTGCATATACAGCTACCATGCTGTATTCATTTGGATTAAGAACATTTAGTCAGGTAGGATTTATGGAGCCCTTTAGGTTCTGCCTTGATAATGCTGATTGATGTTGGCCGTATCGTGATGAGTTACCTTCTTCATCTGTGGAGCTCTCTGTAGAGTTGGTGAACCTATTCAGGTAGCTGGCCGAGGGCACAGGGCTGCTGAACTCGGACACCTGGCTGTTGGAACCTGACGAATGGTCTCCCAGCTCCTTGGTGGGGGTCTCCTACAGATGAGGAGACCAATAAGTGCAAATGTTAAAGTTCAGTCTAATGACAATATTTAGACTAGAACCTGTGAATGTTACAAAAAAAAAAAACCTGCAATATCACATGACATTCAAACCATTTCTAATGCATAGCCATAATCGTTGTCCAATTTGTATTTTGAGTTGTTTTGATATAATTGTTCAATACAAGTGAAACAATGTCTGTCTGTGTGCATGCAAAAGGTGACAAGTGGGTACTGTACCTGGTCGAAAAGGAAAACCGTGACATCGTCGAAGAACGACACAGCTCTACTGGCACTGTCTGCATCGCTGCCTCCTGATTGCATGGAGGGTTTGGCGCTGGGGGTGACATTCAGCGATGTGGGCTTCAGCAGGCTCTTGAGGTTCCGTGCTCTACTGTCGTCCGAGACTATAACAGGCACCGGGTGCACCGTGTCGTCCTCGCTGTCCTCGCTGGAGCTGTGCAACCGGTACGCCCGCATGTCATCATCCGAGTCGTCGCTGTTATCGTCCTCTTCGTCCGCCTCCCCTCCGTCCTCCTGCCCGTCCCCATCGGAGCCGTCCCGCCTGCCCAGGTACCTCCCCTCCATGTCGGGCTCCTTGAGCTTGGGGGTGATCTCGCTGGCGTAGGTCCTGGTTAGCTTAGCGTGGACTGGTATGTTCTCAGGAAAGGGTTTTGCTGAGGTAGCAACAGCAGGCAATGGAGGCTTTTCCAGGTCCTCTGTGGATGTTCCGTTGGACACGGAGTGACTAGAAGTCCTGAAGTCGGGGAATAACTCCAGTGTCCTGGTCTCGTCCACACTGCCGTCGATGGACACAGGTGAAGTCTTCTCCCAGTCCTCCTCTGTGGTGAGGACCAGCATAGGGAGACTGGTCCCTTCCAAGGGCTGAGGCTTGGTCTTCTCCACTCCAACATCAACCAGAGCTTCTCGAGCAATGGCAGACTGTGACCCAGCAGAAGACCCTACATGTTCCTCCTCTGTGACTTCAGGAAGAACAAATGGACCTCCAGAAACACTGCCACTGACGTCCCCAGTTGGCGAGTTGGCTTCTTCAGACTTCTTCTCAGGCTCGGAATCGTTGTCGGAGAAGTAAGCAGAGTCTCTATAGTTGCCTCCCATGAAAGGTTCCTCGCCAGGTGCGATGGGCTCTGCCTGTTGGTCCTCACCATCCTGAGCATCCATCACACTCTCCACCTCCGAGACAATGATTTCAGGGGGAACTAGCGTGGTAGCAGCTGCTGGCTCCTCCTCCTCTTCTTCTTCTTCTTCTTCGGCCAAACTCAGACCGTTTTCCTCTGAGAAGTGGTCTTTGATGATGGGCTGAGAGTTCCACTCTGGAGACTCCAGGTTCTCCGTCTCGTAGCCGCTGTCGGCTGTTTTGTACGGGGGCTGGAGCTTGTGAGGTGCTGCCGGGGTGTTTAGTTCTTCGACCGACCCCTCCAGCCTGTGGCTGATGTCCAGGGAGTCCAGAGAGTCTGGCGTCTCGGCTGAGTTCTCCACAGTGGGCAGAGTGGTGGAGATGCTGTCCTCCAGTAGGCTGTCCTGGCTGATCTGGTCCATGGAAGGACCGGAGACCAGCAGAGAGGACCTATCGTGAGACGCGTCTTCCACCTCAAAAGTCCCGTCGTCGTCATGTTCATGCTCAGAGAGGACGGTGTCCATTTCTGCCTCTGTATCATCTTCAACCAGGTCGCTCAGCAGATCATCACTGGTCAGGCCTTCGCTGGTCAGGCCATTGTCAACAGCAATCTCACTGACATAGGCTGGGGGAGAGCCATGGCTTAGCAGGTCGTCTGTCGGCTCTTTGATTCCTATGGATTCAACACAGTCATCCTCTGGGGCTCCGAGGCGGTCTTCAAGGCTGGGGTTTTTGGCATCCATGCACAGGGGGTCTGTAGTGGCACTTTCAGAGAGGAGTGTGAGAGACTGGCGGATATTTGCTGGACTAATGACAGGGACCTCGGCCCTCTCAGAGGTAGAGTCAAAAGCAGTGTCCATCCCCATATCAGAGGACTGCTGCAGCAGACCAAAGTCTTCGCTGGAAGAGCTATTTCTAACTGGCAGCTGGTTGCTACAGATGTCCTCTGTTACCAGTGTATTTGAAGGCACCAGTGTTTTAGGGTCTGCTAGAGGTTGCAGGAAATCCACAAAACTGGGACTCATAAAGTCAAAAAGTTCCTCTTCTGCTGGGGACATGTTGCTCTCTACAGGTTTTATGGGGATCTCTGCTACGTTTAAGCCATCTATGGTCTCATCATCAACATCATCCCAAGAGTTCATTCTGAAGCTGTGCTCTGGAACGTGGGTCAGACCAGGTTTGAGGAAGTCCGGTTGTAGACTCCCACTACTTTTCCCTGATAAACCAGAGCCCTCCTTCATCAGGCTCTTCTCTTTGAGGAACATGAAGTTGTCCGCTAGTTTCTCAGTGTTCAGAAGCCTCATCACATCCGGGGTTCCCTCCCCCTCCTCCTCCTCCTCCCGCTCCTCTAAAGAGTCCTGGAGGATGACCTCTGATTGGCGCTCCCCTAAAAAAGAATTCCCAAAGCTCTTTTCTGTTCCCTGGGCCTGCCCCTCTACAGACTCCCCTCTTTGGAGACCATTTCCGTTGAGCTCTGGAAGCTCCATGAAGCCCCTGTTCCAGGAATGGGAGTCCTGTCTGGAGTCTCCCTCGCTGAAGATGTTGGTGTGGTAGGGGCTGTCATGCTCACTGGAAGACCAGATGTGGCTGTCCTGGAGGTACGAGTCCTTGGAGTCTATGCTGCGGTGGAAGAAGTCTGCGTCGGTGCTGGACTCGTCCAAGCGGACATCTTGGAGGGTGATAAATTGCTGCCTGTCAGACACTGTGTTTACCTCTGGACCCCTGTTCTCCTTTGCCTCCACGGTGCTTTCCCCCTGCTCCTCCAACTGGATGTAGTACTCGTTCCCATTGGCTGGTTTGTGAGCGTCAAACACGGGAAGGATCCCAGGGATTGCCGAATGGGTGTTCCTGCTGTCGGTGCCCCCCGTCCTGGGGGCTACGGGGTCTGGGAAGTGGGCCTGAATGTCCTCACTGGGTACTGGGAAGAACATGCTGTGGTAGTTGAGCTTGGTGTCCATGGCCGAGCGGCCGTGGCCGCTGCTGCTGTCGTAATGGTCGTGCTTGGCCGCTTCCCACACATACTCAAAGCTCAGGCCGCGGCTGGTCTCAGTGACGGTGAGCATCTCGTCCACCTCGGCCCGCAGTGCGTCGTCTGCAAACTGCTCCAGAATGGGGTAGGAGGAGTGGCTGACGGTGGTCTGGCGCGTGACAGGGTTGGGCTTGAGGGAGTCCCAGCGCTGCTGGAAGTCGTCCTCCACATCCTTCTGGCCCTGCATACGCAGGTAGGTGAGCAGCCGGTGGACCTCCTCGGCCGTGGCCCGCTTGTCTGGAGCCAGCCAGCAGAACTGTAACACCTCATACCTGCACAGGGGAGAGAGTTGAGGTATTACCCTTTATGGCATGAGCAGAGGATTTTTAAATACAATTTCACTTCATAAGAGAACATATCGTTTCAATGTCAGGTATGCAATTCTTGATCCACCTATCTTTATGATAATGTATACAAGTATTTTAACAATTCAGGAGACATCCCATAAATAAAATGTACTCCAACTAGATCCAGTTGGTATCATGTGTAGTATGGTTGGAAAGAGAGGGACTGACCATCTGTCGGAGTAGGGCAGCTCCAGCTGTGGTTTAAACAGTTTGATCTGCTGTTCTCTGATGACGTGGTTCAGGACCTCGCGGTCAGACAGGTGTGGGTAGGGCTGGGCTGCATTCTCAAACAGCTCCCACAGAGTCACCCCCAGGGCCCTGCAAACGCAGGGATCACAGAAACACTTATTATGACTAGTGGAGGGATAATTAGAACTCACAACCTACTGTACCCTGCATGTATGATGGAAACATTGGTCTGTGATTAAATGCTCAATGAGATGGAGGAAAACTATTTTCATATTGCAGCATAATAATAACCATATTCACATCGCAATGAATAATGTTCTTAATAAAAGTATCAAAACAGGTCCCAAAACATAAATATTCCTTGAAACGAAAGATTACACTGAGTTCCACAGTGATGCTGGCCCATGTTGACTCCAATACTTCCCACAGTTGTGTCAAGTTTGCTTCATGTTCTTTGGGTGGTAGACCATTCTTGATACACAGGGGAAACGGTTGAGCGTGAAAAACCCAGCAGCGTTGCAGTTCTTGAAACAAACCGGTGCACCTGGCACCTACTACAGTGAGGGAAAAAAGTATTTGATCCCCTGCTGATTTTGTACGTTTGCCCACTGACAAAGACATGATCAGTCTATAATTTTAATGGTAGGTTTATTTGAACAGCGAGAGACAGAATAACAACAAAAAAAATCCAGAAAAACGTTATACATTTATTTGCATTTTAATGAGGGAAATAAGTATTTGACCCCTCTGCAAAACATGACTTAGTACTTGGTGGCAAAACCCTTGTTGGCAATCAGAGGTCAGACGTTTCTTGTAGTTGGCCACCAGGTTTGCACACATCTCAGGAGGGATTTTGTCCTACTCCTCTTTGCAGATCTTCTCCAAGTCATTAAGGTTTCGAGGCTGACGTTTGGCAACTCAAACCTTCAGCTCCCTCCACAGATTTTCTATGGGATTAAGGTCTGGAGACTGGCTAGGCCACTCCAGGAACTTAATGTGCTTCTTCTTGAGCCACTCCTTTGTTGCCTTGGCCGTGTGTTTTGGGTCATTGTCATGCTGGAATACCCATCCACGACCCATTTTCAATGCCTTGGCTGAGGGAAGGAGGTTCTCACCCAAGATTTGACAGTACATGGCCCCGTCCATCGTCCCTTTGATGCGGTGAAGTTGTCCTGTCCCCTTAGCAGAAAAACACCCCCAAAGCATAATGTTTCCATCTCCAAGTTTGACGGTGGGGATGGTGTTCTTGGGGTCATAGGCAGCATTCCTCCTCCTCCAAACATGGCGAGTTGAGTTGATGCCAAAGAGCTCGATTTTGGTCTCATCTGACCACAGCTGCCTTGAGATCATTGACAAGATCCTCCCGTGTTGTTCTGGGCTGATTCCTCACCGTTCTCATGATCATTGCAACTCCACGAGGTGAGATCTTGCATGGAGCCCCAGGCCAAGGGAGATTGACAGTAATTTTGTGTTTCTTCCATTTGCGAATAATCGCACCAACTGTTGTCACCTTCTCACCAAGCTGCTTGGCGATGGTCTTGTAGCCCATTCCAGCCTTGTGTAGGTCTATAATCTTGTCCCTGACATCCTTGGAGAGCTCTTTGGTCTTGGCCATGGTGGAGAGTTTGGAATCTGATTGATTGATTGCTTCTCTGGACAGGTGTCTTTTTTACAGGTAACAAACAGTTGTGTCAAGTTTGCTTCATGTTCTTTGGGTGGTAGACCATTCTTGATACACAGGGGAAACGGTTGAGCGTGAAAAACCCAGCAGCGTTGCAGTTCTTGAAACAAACCGGTGCACCTGGCACCTACTACAGTGAGGGAAAAAAGTATTTGATCCCCTGCTGATTTTGTACGTTTGCCCACTGACAAAGACATGATCAGTCTATAATTTTAATGGTAGGTTTATTTGAACAGCGAGAGACAGAATAACAACAAAAAAAATCCAGAAAAACGTTATAAATTTATTTGCATTTTAATGAGGGAAATAAGTATTTGACCCCTCTGCAAAACATGACTTAGTACTTGGTGGCAAAACCCTTGTTGGCAATCAGAGGTCAGACGTTTCTTGTAGTTGGCCACCAGGTTTGCACACATCTCAGGAGGGATTTTGTCCCTACTCCTCTTTGCAGATCTTCTCCAAGTCATTAAGGTTTCGAGGCTGACGTTTGGCAACTCAAACCTTCAGCTCCCTCCACAGATTTTCTATGGGATTAAGGTCTGGAGACTGGCTAGGCCACTCCAGGAACTTAATGTGCTTCTTCTTGAGCCACTCCTTTGTTGCCTTGGCCGTGTGTTTTGGGTCATTGTCATGCTGGAATACCCATCCACGACCCATTTTCAATGCCTTGGCTGAGGGAAGGAGGTTCTCACCCAAGATTTGACGGTACATGGCCCCGTCCATCGTCCCTTTGATGCGGTGAAGTTGTCCTGTCCCCTTAGCAGAAAAACACCCCCAAAGCATAATGTTTCCATCTCCAAGTTTGACGGTGGGGATGGTGTTCTTGGGGTCATAGGCAGCATTCCTCCTCCTCCAAACATGGCGAGTTGAGTTGATGCCAAAGAGCTCGATTTTGGTCTCATCTGACCACAGCTGCCTTGAGATCATTGACAAGATCCTCCCGTGTTGTTCTGGGCTGATTCCTCACCGTTCTCATGATCATTGCAACTCCACGAGGTGAGATCTTGCATGGAGCCCCAGGCCAAGGGAGATTGACAGTGATTTTGTGTTTCTTCCATTTTGCGAATAATCGCACCAACTGTTGTCACCTTCTCACCAAGCTGCTTGGCGATGGTCTTGTAGCCCATTCCAGCCTTGTGTGGGTCTACAATCTTGTCCCTGACATCCTTGGAGAGCTCTTTGGTCTTGGCCATGGTGGAGAGTTTGGAATCTGATTGATTGATTGCTTCTCTGGACAGGTGTCTTTTTTACAGGTAACAAACTGAGATTAGGAGCACTCCCTTTAAGAGTGTGCTCCTAATCTCAGCTCGTTACCTGTATAAAAGACACCTGGGAGCCAGAAATCTTTCTGATTGAGAGGGGGTCAAATACTTATTTCCCTTATTAAAATGCAAATGAATTTATAACATTTTTGACATGCGTTCTTCTGGATTTTTTGGTTGTTATTCTGTCTCTCACTGTTCAAATAAACCTACCATTAAAATTATAGACTGATCATTTTTTTGTCAGTGGGCAAACGTACAAAATCAGCAGGGGATCAAATTATTTTTTCCCTCACTGTACCATACCCTGTTCAAAGGCACTTAAATATTTTGTCTTGCCCATTCACCCTCAATGGCACACATAATTCACAATCCATGTCTCAAGACTTAAAATCCTTCTTTAACCTGTCTCCTCCTTCATCTACACTGATTGAAGTGGATTTAACAAGTGACATCAATAAGAGATCATAGCTTTCACCTGGATTCACCTGGTCAGTCTGTCATGGAAAGAGCAGGTGTTCTTAATGTTTAATATACTCAGTATATAGGCCTACGTGTATATGGGTTCCTTTTGCGTCTATTTGAAATTTTAAGTAGAAATTGTGCACCAATATTGATTTTTAATAGCATGTTATATTAAATGAAGTACCCTTTAATACAGACCACATGGAACATTCAATACATCTTTTTTTTATATGAATAAAGACTTGCTAAAGTGCCAAAAAACCTGCATGTCCCATCTCATGTTTTTCCAACTTCTAGGAAGATTTTAACCCACTTAACCCAAAAATGTCCCCAAGTTTTCACCATCATTTTAAAGCCCTAGTTACTTTGTTGCTTTCTGAGGATTCATATTTATTTCACGTGATTAGTGATTCATTTACATTTGTCATTCATTTTAAGGTCAACCCTGTTATGTGAACTGAACTCTCGTTTTAATATGATGAAAGTATTCCTTTCAAAATAATTTTTTCAAAACAGACATTCAACATCTTATAGTCAAATCATAGTGTAAAAGCAGGTGAGCTGGTGCTACTCTTTTTAGCCATTATCTGGTGTTTTGTGGTGGAAAACTAAGCAGGTCGAACATAACGTCAACCCTGTTACCCATAGATAGGCTAGACATTTTTTAACAATTTCAATGTTTTTGTGAAGCTTGCATTCAATTCCCACTCCCTGTTGCACACAAGCTTCCATTCCCCCTGTCACATGGGGATTTATGGCCGATTCAAGATTACACGGTCCACCCTGCTACTTTATTTGTCAGTTACTATAGTATTGTTTATGTTTAACCTCTATAATAGACCAGGCATTTACAGCTTCCATTTTTAAATTTAAATTTTACATTTTAGTCATTTAGCAGACGCTCTTATCCAGAGCGACTTACCACATGGATAAATGAATGTTGTCTTATTTTCCTGTCAAATAAAAATTGCATTGTTATTCATAGATGCAATTTTTGTAAATGTGACATTTCTCTCAGCACTCCCTCTACACAATGGCAATAAATACATATTGTTCAATATGATCAATATTAACTTTGCATAATATTGTATTCTAGTGTATATTTTTACCCCGAACCATTAGTTCCCAAATATTTTAGGAGTTGATGTTGCTATTCTGTTTTTCACCTTAAATCACTGTGGTTCCTATTAAGCCCGGTTTGCATTGAAACACATAGGGATAGTGTGCTGACATTCCTAATATTCAATTAACATAAATATGGTTTTTGTTCAGATTTAAGTTGATTAAAATACACAAATTACAGTTATGCATCTAGCCATGGTGCCTTTCCCAAGATTAGAAACAATTAGAAACCACTGTACTCTCCAAGACATTTGGAGTGGACAGGAAGTCATTGACACAGAGAGAGAACAATAGGATCAGGGTTGAGGGATATCAGGTGGACAAAAAGGCCAACAAATGAGGGACAAGAAGATTGCTATTGGGCGACTACTCATGCACTTTTGGGTGGGGGCATTGTCATATTGTTGTCCTTCATTCATCCAGGTGATTCCGTGTTTTGGTCCACCAGCTGTCCCTTTGTATTTAAGAGGTGGGCTTATTTAGAACACCCATGGGCTTAACGGGTACATTCGGTAGCCATTAAGCCCAGTCCGGACCTTTCACATACGTTTTAAATCATAAAACGTCACATGAGAGATTCATCTTTCATTCTATCTCCACTTTTCCTACAGAGACTAGGGCAGTATATGTTAGAAATGTAGTAACTTAGACGTTGGTGGCCTTAATAGGAACACTTACACTACACTACCCAAAATGCACTCAATTGGTGGAATGACCCATATTCTGACAACTAAACATATCCTTATTTAGGGGTAAATGTGGTACCGCAACAAGAGCCTCCTTATGCAACGTTGTGATTTACAGCCGTGACACGGACTGGCACGGAGCCATGAGGTCATAGGGGAGGGGCTAGAAGGGACTAGGAGGGATAGGTTATAGTGTTGCTGTGCTGCCTGGTGGGAGTGAGTTGGAGTGCAGGGTCAGCGTCTTCTTCCCTTTAGAAGTCAGCTAGACTGAGCGGCTGCTAAGATTTACAGCCTCAGAGATCGTCTATCATCTTCAAAGGAGACCCTGGCCTACTGGCCAGCAACAGGACACAGGTTGACTCACTGTGTTAATTAGTACACTGCTCAAAAAAATAAAGGGAACACTAAAATAACACATCCTAGATCTGAATGAATGAAATAATCTTATTAAATACTTTTTTCTTTACATAGTTGAATGTGCTGACAACAAAATCACACAAAAATTATCAATGGAAATCAAATTTATCAACCCATGGAGGTCTGGATTTGGAGTCACCCTCAAAATTAAAGTGGAAAACCACACTACAGACTGATCCAACTTTGATGTAATGTCCTTAAAACAAGTCAAAATGAGGCTCTGTAGTGTGTGTGGCCTCCACGTGCCTGTATGACCTCCCTACAACGCCTGCTCCTGATGAGGTGGCGGATGGTCTCCTGAGGGATCTCCTCCCAGACCTTGACTAAAGCATCCGCCAACTCCTGGACAGTCTGTGGTGCAACGTGGCGTTGGTGGATGGAGCGAGACATGATGTCCCAGATGTGCTCAATTGGATTCAGGTCTGGGGAACGGGCGGGCCAGTCCATAGCATCAATGCCTTTCTCTTGCAGGAACTGCTGACACACTCCAGCCACATGAGGTCTAGCATTGTCTTGCATTAGGAGGAACCCAGGGCCAACCGCACCAGCATATGGTCTCACAAGGGGTCTGAGGATCTCATCTCGGTACCTAATGGCAGTCAGGCTACCTCTTGCGAGCACATGGAGGGATGTGCGGCCCCCCAAAGAAATGCCACCCCACACCATGACTGACCCACCGCCAAACCGGTCACGTTGGAGGATGTTGCAGGCAGCAGAACGTTCTCCACTGTGTCTCCAGACTCTGTCACATCTGTCACGTGCTCAGTGTGAACCTGCTTTCATCTGTGAAGAGCACAGGGCGCCAGTGGCGAATTTGCCAATCTTGGTGTTCTCTGGCAAATGCCAAACGTCCTGCACGGTGTTGGGCTGTAAGCACAACCCCCACCTGTGGATGTCGGGCCCGCATACCACCCTCATGGAGTCTGTTTCTGACCGTTTGAGCAGACACATGCACATTTGTGGCCTGCTGGAGGTCATTTTGAAGGGCTCTGGCAGTGCTCCTCCTGCTCCTCCTTGCACAAAGGCGGAGGTAGCAGTCCTGCTGCTGGGTTGTTGCCCTCCTACGGCCTCCTCCACGTCTCCTGATGTACTGGCCTGTCTCCTGGTAGCGCCTCCATGCTCTGGACACTACGCTGACAGACACAGCAAACCTTCTTGCCACAGCTCGCATTGATGTGCCATCCTGGATGAGCTGCACTACCTGAGCCACTTGTGTGGGTTGTAGACTCTGTCTCATGCTACCACTAGACTGAAAGCACCGCCAGCATTCAAAAGTGACCAAAACATCAGCCAGGAAGCATAGGAACTGAGAAGTGGTCTGTGGTCACCACCTGCAAAACCAGTCCTTTATTGGGGGTGTCTTGCTAATTGCCTATAATTTCCACCTGTTGTCTATTCCATTTGCACAACAGCATGTAAAATTGATTGTCAATCAGTGTTGCTTCCTAAGTGGACAGTTTGATTTCACAGAAGTGTGATTGACTTGGAGTTACATTGTGTTGTTTAAGTGTTCCCTTTATTTTTTTGAGCAGTGTATATTTTATTCAACACAGTGAGAGAAAAAAGTGCAACTACTGTAACATACTGTAGCACAACACCCTGTATAGATGCACAGCACAGGAGGCTGCTGAGTGGAGGACGGCTCATAATAATGGCTGGAATGGAGTGAATGGAATGGTATCAAACACATGGACATGGAAACCATGTGTTTGATACCATTCCATTTTATTCTGTTCCAGCCATTACTATGAGCCCGTCCTCCCCAATTAAGGTGCCATCTGCCGCCTGCGAATTGCACAGTGACTAGGTGGAGGTACCTACCACACATTGCCAGACTTGGTCTGGTCCAGGGTGATCACGCCCCCATGGCGCTCGCCCACCAGCTCCGGGGCCATCCAGCGCAGGGGCGCCGACTCGTCGTCCTCCGTGATGATGTAATCCTCCTGTGACATCATGAGAGGGACAGAGTCAAGCATGGAGCATCCATGTAATTACATGCAGAACAAATACATGTGTAATTTAATAGGATGTCCATCTCAGAATGCCACTTCCACAAACAACCAGTAGGCTCTCATTCACCTTCTTTTATCCATTCAATTCACTGATGTGTTTTGCCAAGGCTTCTAAGAAGCTTTTGGATATGTTTGGTAACCTTTCCTTCAGTTCTAACCCACATTACTGTACTTAGAGTTGTTGTCCGACTTCCTAGTAAGTACTTAATCAAGCTCATAAATACACCCAAAACACCTCTGGCCACACTTGTTGACCGTGCTAAATAGAGAGCTCAACATTATTTGAGGAATGCAGCGGGCGGAGCTTGCCTTAGTGACTCCACAGTCAGGCCAGGGCCAAATGCAGTAGGGAATTACACTTTGGTATAAAGGCTTCCCAGAGTTCTGCCAGACTGGGGTCACAGACTAAGAGCTGTATATAAACCCCCTACTGGAAAGCACTTACCCTCTCTTTACGGACTCTGCTGCTTTGTAAAGGCTTAAAAAAACACTTTTCACACTATTGTGTTGACTATACGGACTAAGCCTATACTATAATGTACTGGCTTTGATATTTTCTTTCACATCATCCTTTGAAACTTTGGTGGATGCATAACCTCTGTTCAGCTGGGCTCAGCTCAGTAGTGTGGAAAGGGTTATAGGTTAATGAACCTAAACTATTGTAACAGCACACATACAGATGCCACTTCCTTTTGTCACCTGAAAGTAAAACTAAACCAAATCCCCCTGATTCCATTTGAAGGAGAACCAGTTGGAAAGTGTCCTGGTACCTTGTATCTGTAGGGGCCGATGCCATAGTCTCCCACTTTGACGGTCAGGTCTGTGGTCAGAAAGCAGTTCCTCAGGGCTAAGTCACTGTGAGAAAAGAGGAGGAGAAGGAAACCCATTAAAGAAGAGATTCAAAAACAACATGAGACTGCAGTTGTTTCACACCATGAGGATTTACACAGAGTTCATTGTGTGTTCAATATGGTCTGGTGTGGTCATAGAACGGTTGAGTTTAATATGTGTTCAATACGGTCTGGTGTGGTCATAGAACGGTGAATGGATCACAGGGCTGCAAATAATAGGCGGTTGGTCCAGTTGTTCTGGTGCCTACAGGTCCAGTTGAGTCTACCAGCCATACATTAACGGCGCAAAACGATTATATCGGATATCGTGATATTTGGAGTAGCATATCGTAGAAGAGGTCTTCTCAAGTATCGCCCAACCCTAGTTCAGACCCAACAAATGAGAGCTATTTATTAAATATTCGATGTAAATAATGTAATCATATAATTGGCCCAACCCTAGTTTGAACACAAGTTAGCGGTGTGGGACAAACACTGCAGTACACACAACTGTAGTCTCTGAAGATAAAACAACACTCTGAACCGTCTCTTGGTCATCACACATATGAGAAGATGGAACTCAGTGCTGCTGCAGGAGACGTTTAGATTGGCATGTGGTCATGCAATGGAAATAACTAATTGAAACGGTGGAATTAACGCTCAGTGTATTAGGTACACCCATCTAGTGCCGGGACGGACCCCCTGTAGCCATGAAGGGATGCACCTGGTCAGCAACTATGTTCAGATACGCTGTGGCGTTCAAACGTTGCTCAATTGGTATTAAGGGACCTAACGTGTGCCAGGAAAACATTCCCCACACCATCGCCACCAGCCTGTACCGTTGACACCAGGCAGGATGGGGCCATGGACTCATGCTGCTTACGCCAAATCCTGACTCTGCCATCAGCATGATGCAAACGGAACCAGGATTCGTCAGACCAGGCAATGTTTTTCCACTCCTCATTGTCCAGTGTTGGTGATCGCGTGCCCACTGGAGCCGCTTCTTCTTTTGTTTAGCTGATAGCAGTGGAACCCGGTGTGGTCATCTGCTGCAATAGCCGAGTTGTGCGTTCCAAGATGCCGTTCTCCACACCACTGTTGTACTGCGCCGTTATTTGCCTGTTTGTGGCCCGCCTGTTAGCTCGCACGACTCTTGCCATTCTCCTTCGACCCCTCTCATCAACGAGCTGTTTTTGCCCACAGGACTGCCGCTGACTGGATTGTATTTTTTTTGTCGCACCTTTCTTGGTAAACCCTAGACACTGCCGTGCGTGAAAATCCCAGGAGGCCGGCCGTTTCTGAGATACTTGAAACGGCGCTCCTGGCACCGATGATCATACCATGCTCAAAGTCACATAGGTCCCTAGTTTTGCCCATTCTAACGTTCAATTGAACAGTAACTGAATACCCTGATGCCGTTCTGCCGGCTTTATATAGCCAGCCACGCCCATTGTTTTCGTGAACGGGATGGTGTACCTAATAAACTGGCCACTGAGTGTATTTGCATGCCTTAAATATACTGTACAGGCCTACGACAGGATGACATAATTAATATCCCAGTGACCTTTTTTTTTATAATTACATTTTCCTCACCCTAATAGGATCAAATATCTGTTTAAATTCTGTTTTCCAACCTCAGGGTGATAGAGAACTAATTATTTGTTCATCTAAGTGTCTCTACACTTGTGACTGCCTCGCTTCCCACCTCGTTTGTTTGACGTGTTGCCCAGCCATGCCATGTCTCAGGTGATTAAAGACCCCTTCAACCTGCCTCTAAATCCAACCAACCCCCAACCACCACAGATCCAGGTCAGGACAGACAAAGACTGGACTCTTGAGTGGCTTTAGACCTAAACACATTTGGACTTATAGCTTGTATCACTAGGTGAAACCTCCTCCAGTCGCTTCTGTTCCGCCCCTAGTAACAAAATCACTGATGCTGGAGCTTTTCCCGACTCACTCATACAGCACCAGGATATTGTTCCCAGGGAAGAACACTCACAGGCGGGCACAGAGTGGCAGTGAGGCGGGGTGGCCAGGGGAGGGCGATAAAGGTGGACTGGGCCCTCCGAGTGGACAGATGGTAGCTCATTCAGACTGGCACCCTCATGGAGGGAGAGGCTCTGGTTTCCCTTTGGCCCTGGCAACATTTCACCACCAACCCGTTCCAAGAGCGCGTCTCTTTACCCCGTCTATCTGTGGACATTGCTGACACTAGTGGTCTGTGCTCGCACACCCCAGGAGCTCCTGTCAGGCCCACTGAAACCTCGGCAAGATAAATGGAGAGATATTTTAAACCTCTTCTGTCCTGGCTGTTCCCTGCTGTTGGCGAACACAGTGCATTACGGTACTGCTGGCGGGTCAGGGAGAGAGAATCAGATTCAACGTCCTATCCCTACAAGGCAAATGGCGTGGGCGGTCGACACCGCCATGGCTTGAAGGCTGTTTGGTGCAGACACGTCAGCAGATTCTTAACCTCTTCTACAGAAAATCAGAATAGCTCAGCAACCTAGCGAGTTTAAAAACAAAGACCTTACAACAACAAAAATAGTGAGATCAACTGATTCTAAACATTATTTTCAGGTCAAGTGGAACTATCAGATTCAGTAAAATGACCAAATTAAAATATGTTCTGGAAGCCAAAAAAAATAGAAAATACTTTTCAATGCTACGGTTGTCACACTGGTTGAAAACTGGAGTACACACTTCCCTCTCCTCCACTGCCCCATATGCTATTTCTCCCCAGTGTTGTTACGTAATGTCAGTTAGAGTGATTCTCCTGGACCGCCCTGCCAGCTTGCTGTCTTATCGCTGTGGCCGCCCCATCACAATAACGAGCTGGGCTCAGAAACCACAGACCCTGAGTCTTGGCTACAGTTCCAGTTCATGCCACTGCCCCTGTCCCAGAAGGCTTTGCGGCACAGCGCTAGCCACAGCCCCCCATATCGGGTACTTTGTGGGCAGGGCATCCAGCGAGGAACGCCTTGGTAGTAAATCAATTTTGCAACCCAACCAAAAGAAAAGCGGTGCACTATATTTTTTACGACTGTCATTACGACCCTGTTAACGGTGGAATCTCGTACTAGGGCTCCTTTTGAGTTGTAACACGGGATAATAAATGGCCAACATGAAGCTATCCATTTACACACAAACAGCAGAATCATCATATCCTTCTGACAGGCTGATAGTTGAGCTGGGTAATTGGAGCCCTCTGGGTTTATTCTGAGCATGCAAAACATGGATGAGCTGAGCGACGCATGTTACCCTACAACCCCCCCCCCCCTCTCCTCCATAGCCCTGCTCACCTACATGTCCTGCACTCGCCGGGTAAAAGGTGAAAAGAAACGGGCCCTTGACACACTCTCCTTTTTGGGGAGGCCCGGTGGCCCTGTTTTGATTGGCCCAGTGTTGGCTTGGGAGTAGGAGTAAAAACAAACATCTACAAACATCTTCAGCTTCATATATATTTTTTTTTTTGACATTTTAGTCATTTAGCAGACGCTCTTATCCAGAGCGACTTACAGTTAGTGAATACATATTTTTTATACTGGCCCCCCGTGGGAATCGAACCCACAACCCTGGCGTTGCAAACGCCATGCTCTATCAACTGAGCTACATCCCTGCCGGCCATTCCCTCCCCTACCCTGGACGACGCTGGGCCAATTGTGCGCCGCCCATGAGTCTCCCGGTCGCGGCCGGCTGCGACAGAGCCTGGATTCGAACCAGGATCTCTAGTGGCACAGTTAGCACTGCGATGCAGTGCCTTAGACCACTGCGCCACTCAGGAGTACTGAATATGCAATATACTGAAACAGGATGTATCCATAAGAGCAAGGTGCCATGAGGGATGCCAAAACCACATAATTGATTAGATAGAGACAGACTTGTAATTGTGACACGTTAATATCACTTGTGTCTGATACTATCGTAACGCAACATTTTGAAGTTGGAAGATCTAAAAACAGACAGTGCTATTTAAATGTTGGATGAAGTCTTAATTCCTTGAAACGTGACTTTGTTGGTTGACATCTGAAGGCTGTGCCCTTAGCTAAAGCAATGTCTAGTTGTGACTGACTGACTGGTGTAAACGGAGACGGAGCAGAAGTGCTACCTGTGCAGGAAGTTGTGTTTGTGGAGGTGGGTGACGCCAGCAGCGATTTCACAGGCCATCTTCTGCAGCTGCAGCAGCTCAGCATTTCGGAACATCCAATCCTGTTGAGACAGGTAGCTCCGGAGGTCCCCCTGAAATGGAGACACACGCACACGCACAGGATAACATCTGTGTATTCGTTTCAATGCCAAAAACAGCATTCACTTAGTCTTTATTTTAATATCAAATGTCACACAGACAAAACACATCTTGAAGCTCCTGTAATATGGATTTGTGAGTGACTATCTGAAGGTGCATTGTAAGCTGTCATCCACACGGTGGCAGTAGACTCCCTCCCACTCCATAGCTCTGTCCAGCCCAGCAGGTTTTTACTGCTGATGGGGGAGTGGAACCAAACAAGGGCCCAGCTGTTTAATAAACCTAGGTCTATATGGCCAGGTCACGTTTCTGTGCCCACGGTCAAAAGCTCTGTTTGGGAGAGGAGGTGAACGGCCTGGGGTGTGTGAGAACAACGAGTCCCAGAGTCTGGGGAAATAGGTCGGGGGGCACATTTTATTCCCACCCCTCTGAGATGTTGGGGAGGGCAGCTGAGGCTGATGCCAGATTGTAACCAACCACCAACCCACCAGAGCCCTCTGATTGTAGTGGTACAGACAGTCACTATGTGGGTTAGGCTGAGGTCCATAGACAGAGGTGGCATGAGTGCAAGGCTAATGAGTCTGAGTTGATGGATTCACTGACAAGGCTCGTCCTGAGGTAATAGGGGCTTGCCTCGCACTATTGTGTCAACCGGGGCTGTGGTTCACACCCTGCATGCAGCTTACAAAGCTCTGAGAACTGCCAGTGAAAGGCTTGCATTCTCATCTACATCTCAACAACAAAGTGCAGCCTTCTTTTAAGGGCAAAACCGTCACAACAAATGGGTAAGACTTTTACCATTAAAATAAAAAAGTATTGTGAAAAACTAATCACGGAAAGAACATTCTGAGCAAAGACCACAATAAACAACACCACACCCTTATTTTGACACTGCGCCACGATTCCGGGATGGAATTTTACTGATGGGGGGAATTATAATGTATCATGTCAAAGGACTTTAGAATCACACACACACCCTCTGGTAATCTCTCTGCTACTAACATGTCATTTATCCTACAAATATGAGGAACAGTAGAGGCCCCAATATGGAGCCCTGCAGAACACCACATGATATCCCTCTAGCCCCCAGGCAGTCCTTCGCCAGGATCCATTCTGATAGGTCCCTTATACAAAGCCAGTCAGGTCAACTGGGTCCTTGACAAGGACAGGATCTATTCCAACAGGTCCTTCTATACACAGCCAGTCAGTGAGAAGGACTGCAGGCCCAGGTAGGTATGGGGCCCTGGGGGATCAGGTTCACCACAGTGGGGGAGCTCTGGAGAAGGTGACTCCTGTGTCACAAGGAGCTAAGAGGATTCCTGTGGAATGTGGTAGTGAGAACACAGCCACTCCGCGGGGTCATATAATATATGGCCAGCTTTCGGTAAAAGTGTCAATCCACATGACTCAGGGTAATGGAGCTGCCTTGTTTACTAAGAGCTCTCTGTCCCCTTACTGACTACAAGCAGCTTAGACCAGTCTGCTGACGGAACCACCATAACTCTTGTTTCTAACAGACACGGTCGAGCTGCTTTTCTCCAATACCAGCTATAAACAACCACCTTCTGTGAGAAAGACAATTCATAGAAGACCTATATTGAACCATAGAAGAAGATATATATTAAACCTATGGTTAGTGATACCTTGGACATCAATAAAGTGTAATTGATCTTCTCACATGCACACTAGAAGTAACATTTGTAAAAATTAAAATTTTTTAAAAAGGAGATGCTGTTGATGATGCGAAAACAACAACGCCAACAACTGTGCTGACTGTCGTCTACTGAAAAGGTACACACGGTTTACTGAGAAGGAAACTCTAACCGGAGGTGCTTTGACCACTGTCAATGTGAAAACCAACCAATATTGTCCTGTAATGGAAAGACTGTCTGTGTTACTGTGGGAGTCTTGTTCTGCCTTCCTGACAAATGTCCTCCCCATTGTCCTGTCCTGATGGGTGGAAACAGACAGCCTGTGTCTTCTCCGCACTCCCATTCTCAATGTAAAGAATCAAATGGAACAGTGTGTCCTCATTATATCACATTACATTTAGTTAACGACTTAATGGGTGATTGAGTTATTAGCACAGAGTGGAATTACTAACAAGACAAGTAATTGTAGTCAATTGAACCTAATGAGAACAATTAAACAAATATGAATTACACCACGGCGAACTAATTAGGAAAAAAGGTTGTGAGTTATCATGGTACGGGTAAAAAGTGTTTCCTGGTCAGTTCATGTGTTCCGGAAAAACTCTAGGCCCTGATCATGGTCAATGTCTGATAGTGAGTCCTTGCATACAATGACACATCTTCATCATAAAGCATGTTACTCTCTGGGGCCTGTCATGCCAAATAGTGTCCCCCGGCCAAATAGTGTCCCCCCACTCCCCCGCGTCACAATGGGATTTGATGAGTTCTAGCTTCTGTTGCTAGGGCTGTTGCTAGAACTTGCAACATTCTGATTGGATTACGTAATGAACCAAAGTGTCCGTTGCTATGCTGGTTGCTTGGCTCTATTTTACCTCGTAGCAAAGGAAAGAGGACGTGGGCAGTTCAAGTTCGATTTCACCTCGTAAGCGCTCGCTCAGTCCGCGCAAAATTATTACCTCAGAATTGCTCTCCAAGGACTGTGTTTTTGATGGTGATAACCTGCTGACTACCTGCTGCTTCAGAGGATCGAAAAGAGAACACTCTTTCTTTACCATATATTTGTCTTTATATAGGAAAATATTGTTAAATAGGAATAAATCATTTAAGCTGTTTTTAGATTGACGTTGCTAGCTACTGTAACTTTACTTATATACCTCAGCCTGCCTAGTCAGCTAGCCAGCTACAGTTTTATTTAGCTAACGTTAGCTAGCTAACTACTGTAACTGTTATTGTCGCTTTCTGTTTCTATGTAGCTTGCACTTTAATGGCATCCCTCGAGGAGATGTTATTTTATCTTTCCAACCAGGCGAAGTACTATGAAGGCACCACTGATCGACAAGAGGCGCAACATTCAGAGAAATTCACAATTTAGGGACACATTAAGCAGTTAACTTCTATTAGATAACTGGATGGATTTAGCTATGTACAATAATTTTTCAACAACCATTTTCCATCTAGCTAGTTGGTCATCTACATGTTGCTAGCTATACATATAGTTCAGTGGAGGCTGCTGAGGGGAGGATGGCTCATAATAATGTCTGGAATGGAGTAAATGGAATGGTATCAAACATGTGGTTTCTATGTGGTTGATACCATTAAATTGACTCCATTCCAGACATTTTCTGAGCCGTCCTCCCCTCAGCAGCCTCCACTGATATAGTTATATGTCTGTCATATTGAGGTATCTAGCTATAAGTTAAACCTGATCAATCAAATGGATAGGTGTAAATCCAAATGCCCTTAACGAGGTGTCTTTGCTAGACGAGGTGTCTTTGCTACCTACGGGGCAAGGATGGCCAGCCACACATGAGGGTGATTTTTACTAAGGAGGAGAAAGAGGCCGTGCTGACCGAGATGCATGCTGGCCATTTTGGAGTGAAGCGCATGATTTCCAAAATCAACCTACGCTTCTTCTGAAGGGGAATTGTCAAGGAGGTGGACAGCTGGGCAAGTGAAATAACCTTTTGTTTATCAATCACATTCTATTATATCAGAAATTATTATGATTTCAATGAATGTCATATCAGAGAGCACACAATGTTTCAATTAGTCACTTTTTGCTTAAAAGGTCAGTACCCTGTCTTGCCAGCCAGAAGTTTGAGAGGGCGAAGACTGTGGCAGCGGAGTTGAAGCCCATCAAAGTTGTTTCACCATGGCACATGATCGGTAAGTGTCCCAATTCAAATTCTGCCCTAATAAGTTGTTTTGTAATGGTTGCTTTATTTGACCACAGCAGAGTTCAATATTATAGAATGTGTGTGTGTGTGTGTCAGTATCCTTACAAATATGAAAGTCTGCATACTGTATGACACAGATATGGGTAACAATAAAGTAAACTTCTCTCTAATACTTTAAATGTTAGGGGTGAACCTCATCGGACCCTTCACGAAATCCAGGAATGGCAACAGCTGGTGTCTGACAGCGACCGATCACTTTACCAAGTGGGTGGAGGCAAAACCCATTAAGTTCAGTAAAGGAAGAGTACGTGCTTAACTCTAAATTCCCTTCTGTAACCCATTAAAATGGGTGCTTGGAACAAAAAATAGATTTTCGTTTTGTATGATACCCATCAAGGACGAGACTGGCGAGGCCAACTCCAAGGTGATGATGGACATCTTCAACACCCACGGTTCTTCTGAGGTCATCTTGAGTGACCGAGGTCATGAACGCTGGAACAAGGTACGGTTGTTATAGGTTATATTCTGTCACCAATGGTTAGTTTTATTTTTTACAAATTGTTTTTGTTTTTCCATCGTACATAAATCAGACATATTTCAATATCTTACATTGTCAATAGATATCGCTTTCCTACCCCTCCTCTAGGTTTGGTGAAAGGACCAACCAGACCCTCAAGACTGCCATGGGCAAGTCCCTTGATGAGTACCAGGAAGGGTGGGAGAACATCCTGAAGGTAATTCTCTATGCACACAACAGCAGCATCCAGGCCTCCACTGAGTACGGACGGGAGCCACAGCTGTTGACGGAGGTAAACAATGCAATTGTATATACAATTATTGCAAATACTGTAGTCTGATGTGGTGGAAGTTGTCGAACCAGATGAGACCAAAATCGAGCTCTTTGGCATCAACTCAACTCGCCGTGTTTGGAGGAGGAGGAATGCTGCCTATGACCCCAAGAACACCATCGCCACCGTCAAACATGGAGGTGGAAACATTATGCTTTGGGGGTGTTTTTCTGCTAAGGGGACAGGACAACTTCACCGCATCAAAGGGACGATGGACGGGACCATGTACCATCAAATCTTGGGTGAGAACCTCCTTCCCTCAGCCAAGGCATTGAAAATGGGTTGTGGATGGGTATTCCAGCATGACAATGACCCA